TTGAAGTTCAAATCATCTTCGGTGTGTCTGCAGCCCGTGACTTCTGTGCACTGACGGCCGCCGTCCAACCCAGCGTCACAAAGACGTGCCCGTGTGTTTTCCTGTCGGTCTTAAGGCTTCCATTTAGGTCCTGATCTGTTTTATTTTTTTATTTTATTTTATTTATTTAATTTTATTTTTTGACAGGCAGAGTGGACAGTGAGAGAGAGAGACAGAGAGAAAGGTCTTCCTTTTGCCGTTGGTTCACCCTCCAATGGCAGAAACAATTCTTCTTCTATAGACTTATCTTGGCATTTTTATCAGAAACAAATTCTCTAAACATGTTCAGGTCTGATTCGGATTCGTTTATCCCATTTCATTGGCCTTATTCTTCTGTCTTCATGCTAACAGCACAAGTGTTCAGGTTATAGGGTTTATAAGTCTTAAAATCAAGTAGTATTGCAACTTTATTCCTTTAATAGATTCTTTTAATTTCCATATGAATTTTAGGAATAGCTTGTCAATTTCTATAAAAAAAAGTCTGTTCGTTTTGATTGAGAGTACACTGACCCTATAGAGCACACAGAGAAACTAACTTCTTAATGATATTGAGTCTTTCGCTTCATTAATGTTGTATTTACCTCCATTTATTTTTGTCTGCCTTTATTTCTCTGAGCATCATTTTATAGTTTTCAGTATTTGAGTTCCCATTTCTTATCAGTTTTATCTCTAAATATTTCCTATTTGGGGGTATTATTGTAAAGTTTGTATATGTTTATTGTATGCATTTAAGAATGTTTAATAATTATTCTTTGTGAACATGTAGAAGGACTTGGGCCATCCTCCGCTGCTTTTCCCCGGCCATTAGCATGGAACTGGATTGGAAGTGGAGCAGCCGGGACAGGGACAGGTGTCCACGTGGAAGGCAGCAGCTCCACTCCCTATGCCACAACGCTGGCCCCACTGCTCCGCTTCTGATCCAGTTTACCGCTAGTACTCCTGGGAGAGTGTGGATGAGGGATCCAGTACTGGCTTCAGCCTGGCCCAGCCCTGTCTGTTGCAGCCATCTGAGGAGTGAACCAGCAGATGGAAGATCTCTCTCTCTAGAATGAGTTGGGAAATATTCCCTGCGTTTCAAATTTTCGGAGGAATTTGTGTCTAATTGGTATTTGGGGCCAACTTGGGCCCCCTCAGGCTCCAAACTCTGAGGCTGCAGCCCAGGCACTGCCTTTGGCGATAACGCCTCTCAGGAGGCGATCAAGTCATAGCCAGGGGGTCCTGCAGTGGAACCAGCGTCCTCACAATCAGGATGTCCACGCAGCTAGGAGAGAGCCACAAGGGCACAGCAAGACAGCACCCCCTCCCAGGAGGGGCCTCAGAGTGGACCCAACCCTGCCGGCACCGTGACCTTGACCGTCCAGCCCCGGGACTGTGAGAATCGCGAGTAGACGCTCCCAGTCTGTGCTGTTTGTCACGGTGACGCTAGCAAACTGATACCATCGACCAGGCTTTCCCCTTAGGTGAGTGACCAAGCTCTCCAGTGCAGGCACCTGCTCCTTAAACTTGAACCATGGCTTCCGCTTCTTCCCTTGAGGAGTAGGCTCATGCCTTCCAAGGAGGCGGATTACCTCATCTCAGTTACTGAGAGCCAGGGCATTCACTGTAGCCCCGAAAGTTACAGCTACGGAAACAGACCACCAGCGATACCGCAGCCGAAAGATGGTCGCAACTAATACCGGGCAGTAGATCCTTCTGGATAATCCCATACCTGTGCACTCCCATACCCTCCTTTTATTTTAATTACTATTTCCCCATATAAACATAGTTGTGTGTGTGTGTGTGTGTGTGTGTGTTTGCAGCATCAAATATTCTTCGAAAACATGATTATGGATGCAGGGTTAATAACTTCCTTAACTAATGCCTACTTTAAGTTGCTTCTGTTTGGAGCTGGGGAGGGGGCGGGCATCAGAGAAATACCCCGACCAGTGCCGTCTCTGGTCTGCCTCTGTCTGGGAACAGCTCAGGTTTGCCTCTTGGTTTCCAGTCCCAGAAGCGGAATTACTGGGCCAACCAGTTTAGTGCTGACTCCATTGCTGAGCACATGTGCGTGGCAGAGGGAGGGCAGGGGAGTGGGATGAGCCCGTCCTCCCCTCCTAGATCTGGCCTCTCCGCAGACGGGGCCAGCCAGCGCGTCCAGGGGGCATTGGCCATGGGAAAGCAGCAATGGTGCTGCTGAGAGACTCCTGGGGTCCCTGGCCCTCCCTGACTGGGGCCTTTTTCAAACTTTATTTTTAAAATTTTATTTTATTTTTTTAAGAAGAATTTATTTATTTATTTGAAAGGCAGAGTTACAGAGAGGGTGAGGCAGAGGCAGAGAGAGTGTTCATCTTCCGGTTCACTCCCCAGTGGAAGCAATGGCCAGGGCTGGGCCAGGCCAAAGCCAGGAGCTTCATCCGGGTCTCCCACATGGGTGCAGGGTCTCAAGCACTTGGGCCATCCTCTGCTGCTTTACCAGGCCATTGGCATGGAGCTGGATCAGAAGTGGAGTGACCAGGACTAGAATCAGTGCCCATACGGGATGCCGGTGCTGCAAGTGGTGGCTTAGCCACAACATCACAGTGCTGGCCCTGACCATGGCCTTTTGGACATGGACCTAAGTGGCTCCCAGATCCTGCAGTTGGAGGCTTGTTCTTTAGTATACGGACTGTACTGGGCATTTCTTCATTTTTTTAAAAGATTTTTATTTATTTGACAGGTAAAGTTACAGACAGTGAGAGAGAGAGACAGAGAGAAAGGTCTTCCTTCTGTTGGATCACTCTCCAAATGGCTGTAACGGCCGGAGCTGAGCCAATCCAAAGCCAGGAGCCAGGTGCCTCCTCCCGGTCTCCCATGTGGGTGCAGGGGCCCAAGCACTTGGGCCATCACCCACTGCTCTCCCAGGCCATAGCAGAGAGCTGGACTGGAAGAGGAGCAACCAGGACTAGAACCTGCGCCCACATGGGATGCCGGCACCGCAGGTAGAGGATTAACCTAGTGGGTCACGGCGCCGACCCCATGGGCATTTCTTCTTGATTCTTCCTTCTTTGGAGTGCGATTATATCACGAAGAGGTGTGTGCAAAAAAATAGAAGCAAAACCAGAAAGCAGGCTTTGCGCTGACAAGTGAGACCAGGGGCCTGGTCCTCCCGTACTCCCAGTCTGGTAAGGCAGTTGCAGCCCTTGCTCCATGGGGAAGCCCTGGGCTTCTGAAAACACAAAGGCCCCTGCTCTCCAGGGTCGCCCATCCGAGTGCAGAGTCAGACCCCGTGAGCCAAGGCACGCGCAGGTCTCCAGGAAGGAACGCGCCAGCAAGGGCAAATAAACACCTTCCCGTGTAAGGTGTGATGGGGATTCCAGGGTGACTTCCTGGAAGGAGAGGCCTGGATCCCAGGACAGGAAGTTGGGAAGAGGAAGGGTGGGGGCCGGGCAAGGGCTGGCTCACGGGTTTGAGAAGGCAGAAGGGGAAGTTGGCAAAGCTGGGGTGTCTTCTGCCCCGGTCAGCAGGTGTGGGACGTGAGCAGAGCAAGGTGAGTGTGAGCTGAGGGGTGCACCCGGAGTGTCAGTTTCCAAGAGCTCTCTCCCTCCCCCATCCCTCACCCCACTTCCATCTCAGAGCTCACTCCAAGCTGGAGGTCCAGCTCCGACTTTGTCCCAATCAGATCTTGTCTTTTTGTCTTTCTCTGCTTAAAAGGCAGAGAGCCAGGGAGAGACAGACAGACAGAGCGCCCATCCCCTGGTTCACTTTCCAAATGCCCGAAGCTGCAGCCAGGAGCGCAGCGTGGGTGCTTCCGTGTGGGATGCGTGAATCTTAACTGCCACGCCCAAGGCTGCGCCTCACCGTCAGACCTCCAGCCAAGCCCCTTTCCCGTGTCCCACGTGATGTCTGTTCTCGCTAGCACACTCGTCACTCGCGTGGCTGCGTCCTGTTCATTCCACAGCGGGGCACACAGAGGCCGGGGAAGGGCACAGGCCTGACAAGGCCCTGCTGCCACGAAGCAGGGACCCACCAGCACCTGGCTCCTGGAACTCGTCCTGCCCCAGCCCCAGACAAGAGGCCAGTGGCACTGACTCCCAGGCCCACCAGGTCCTCAAGCAGAGGCAAGGGAGCCCACCCCAACCTCAGGAGACATTCGTGGTGACCACAACTCAGGGGGAGCTGGAAGAAGCCACTCAACACCCCGGGGTGCACGAGGAGGTCCCCACCCATAGGCTAGGCCATGCCGCAGCCCGGCTGGGACCCCTTCCTCCAGATGGAAGCCAGGGCCAGTTTGGGGGGGGGCTTCCTGCTGGTTGTGCATACCCAGGCCTCTCCACTCTTAACCTGGGTGGCCCCACAGACGTGGGCACCGACCTGCTTCCCCATGCATGCAGTCCCCTTCCGGACGTGGGTGCGGGGTCCTCCACAGACACGGGCATGTCCACACCGAGCCGCCTCCTGAATGCAGGGACATCTCCCTCCGCAAGTTGCCCTCAGCCTCCCCTGAGCCCCCTCTGCCCTGGCCTTCCCGGCTGGACTTCCATGTTCCTCTCTGTGTTGTCCAGCTTGGAGAGAACCCTGCTAAGTGGCTACAGCAGACCCCGCCCTCCATCCTCCATATCTGGTCTCCCCTGTGTCCCAAGTGACGTCCGAGCGCCCTGGCCGCCCGCGCTGAGGCTCCTGTTAGGGCAGCGGGGACAGCAGCCCCTCTCCCTCCTGGTGTCTCCTCTCAGGCCTTCTCCGCCCCCTGGTGCTTGCGACCTGCAGGACTTGCTGCATTTGGGGTTGAGCCCGCTCTCTCCTCCCCCCTGCAATACCCCATCGTTGCTTTCCCAAGCATCACTAAATCATTACTTCGTCAGTGTCTCTCAGGAGAGGCCAACACCTGGCCAGAGGCATAAACCCCCAGCTGGGCAGACCGGAGCACACTGGGGGCGGGGACTCTGCAGCCAGCAGGGGCGGGGCTGTGTCGGGGGAGGAGCCTCCTTTTTCTAGGGCATATGTGTCACCTGCCCTCTGCCCAGGGCCATTGCCTGGGCACTACCCTGCCAGCGTGCGTGGCAGCGTGAAGCTGGGGCCTGCTCCCTGCCACCTTCAGAGCACCCCACACACTCTCGGAGACCTATGTCGCTGGCCCCCCAGAGCCCAGAGCATGGCAGATGGGGCGCAGGCCAACCACAAAGGGTTCAGGAAGAAGGTGCTGGTTAGACAGCCCTCTGGGCGGAGGGGCCCAAGCCCTGCGGCCGCTTCTCCTCCGAGAACCTCCAGGTAGGTGCCCGCTGTCCCGGGATGGGGTCCTGTGGGGAGAGGGGCAGGGGTGAAGGTGAGGTGCACTGAGACAGGTTTCTGCTTTTCTAGCCGGAGAAGAGGCATAGGCATCATAGAATCAGCTCTTCTGAGACACCTGTGGCCCAGAGAGGCCCAACGCTCTGCCTGCAGTCACTCAGCATTGATTGCGGAGCAGGGCAGCCCACCACCCAGGTCGCTAGGTTCTGGGTTCAAGACCCAGCACCAGGCTGGGTCATGTGGCTCTCTGTGCCAGGGTTCCCTGGCGAGTGGATGGCAGATCGGGGGTGGGGGGCAGTTGGGGAGGCTCTGATCTGAGACAGTGGAAGTAGGATGGGAGGGAAGGAGGTGCTGGGGCCTCCTGGCTCTGCCAGCCTGGGGTGTGTCCCTGCAGGAGCAGCAGGGCAGGTGCGGGATGCTAATCACAGGGCTGGGACAGCATCAGGGGACAGTAATGGGGCTGGGGCCACACAGGTGCAGGGGACAGACTGAGGCTCCCGGCTTCCTCCTCTCTCAGGTCCGGCCTGGGCATGAAGAGGTTCCTCACCATCAGCATCCTGGCCAGCAGCGGTGAGTCCAGGCTCAGCACAGACTTCCTCCTCCACAGCCCAGCCTCTCTCCTGCCACCTGGGCACCTGTGTTCCTGCCCACCCTGAGTAGCCCAGACCCCCTGGGCCAGTCTCGTCCTCTCCCTGGGCCTCCACTTCCCTGTCCTCCTTAACCCCGGAGGGTTGCTGATTCCTTGGTCACCTGCAAACACACCAGGGACCCTCAGTGGCATTTACGAGCCTCGAGGGAACAGGGTGCGGGGGCTGAGCAAGCATCGTAAAACAGTGTTGTTGGCTGGTGTTTGTGTACACAGAGTGTGTGGTGCTGTGTGTGTGTGTGCGTGAGACGGAGTTAATGAGTTTGTGTAGGGAGCTGCACGCGTCTGTGTGTAGGTGGCTATGACCATCTTGGAGTGTGTACCTGTGCAACACACACCAACAAAACAAATGTCAGAGTTGTGAGTCCACCCGTGGCCATGGCTGTGGCTGTGCACCCAGCTGGGCACATGGGGTGTGTGCAGAGAGGGAGACAGCGTGCGGGTACCAGAAGGCAGTGGATGGGCAAGGCTGGTGCTCAGGCCTCCAGGGACCTGGGGCAGCCGCCCCAGGGATGTTGGGGCAAGCTCGGGATCTGAGTCTGGCATGAGCCCCTCTGTCCCCCAACACACGCCGGAGTGTTTCAGCCATGGGGACTGTCACAGAATTGCTCTCTGGCTTTTCATGCAAACTATGAGACACTGCAGGGACACAGCCCACTCGTAGGAGAAGAAACAGAGGCCAGAAGAGGGGCCCATGCATGACCTGAGGTGGTGAGCTCCCCGTCGCTGATAGGAGACAACAAGTCTCAAGAAGCAAGCAAGAGTGGCCTTGGGATGCTACTCAGCCTTGGGTGTCTGAGTCCCTCGGCTGCCTCCCGTCCACGGTACATCTGCTCATTCGGGCAGTGGAGATGTGGAGAGAGCTGGGGGCAGGGCACGGAGCTGCACGTCTCGCCCTGGGCCCATCTGACGGGGCGGTGCTGGCAGGGGCTGCCTGCGAGCTGAGTAGCCTCCTAGCTCGGGGCTACAAAAGCCAGGGCTCCCGTCCGGGCTCTGCCACTTCCAGCCTGCATGAGCTGGGTAAGCCGTCCCCAGTTCCGAGCCTCGGTTTCATCATCCATTCAATGGGACTAGCGCAGCTCTCCTGGTGGGTGTGGTGGCTCCACCCAGATACGGGTGTGAATGCCAGTGCCTTCCTTTTCACTGAGCCCAGGAGACACACGGAGAACACAGGGGCAGCTCAGAGAGCCCAGCGGACCCGGCAGGTGCCAGGAAGCGATTTTGCTGGGATAGGAAGTGTTCTTGCACTATTGCTTTACCTGTGTGTGTGCACATGTATGTGTGTGTGTGACACACGTGTGTGTCCGTTTTCCAACCCACAGCCAGTATTGGCTTGTAACATAGAGGCTTTTCTGTATCTTGATTAAGAGACCACAGCACTGAATTGTCTGCCTTAACCCTGCTTTGCACCAGCTCTGGACCATGGTGGGGCCCCTGAGTCCCTGAGGGGGCAGAGGCCAGGAAGCAGAGGGTGACCAGGTCCAAGTCCTGTGGTTCATGACAGCACTGGCATTTGCAAAGCCCCTTTCTGCACACCAGGTTCTTGGGCAGCCCCCTGGGAAGGGTGGGCAGACACACGGCCGAGGGCATCCGAATTCTGTCTCCATCATTTCTTGACCACCTGACCTTGGGCGAGTTACTAAGTGCTCCGTGCCTCAGTCTCCTCCCCTGGGAAATGGGGTGACAACAGCATTCGTAGAGTCGCAGTGAGCATCCAACGAGGGCCTCACACGCCCCTGGTTCTCTTGCAGTTCTGTCCACTGCCCACGGCAGCCTGCTGAACCTCAAGTCCATGGTGGAAACCATCACGGGCAGAAACGCCATCCTGTCCTTCGTGGGCTACGGCTGCTACTGTGGGCTGGGCGGCCGCGGGCAGCCCATGGACGAGGTGGACTGGTAGGTGCCGGAGATCTGGGATCCCGCTGCAGGCCAGGGACAGCAGGTGGGCAGACAGCTGAAGGTTAGAGCGACCTCTCCTCCACGGAGGACCGGACTTGATTGACAAGTTAGCGGCCAGGAGCCTGCCCTCTGACCATAGCCTCTCCACCTGTTCCGGCCACTTCCGGTTGTCCATCTCCAGGGTCCTGGCCTTGGGAGTATCTTACCCCCTCCTCTCTCCAGGAAGGGACCTTTGACCTGCCCCAAACATACAGGGCAGCGACAGTATGCAGCTGACTCTGCGATGGGGCAAGGGCTGTGAGGGCCACCCCCACCGGGCAGGGGGCTCTGAAGGGCAGGGCTGTGCTTCCTCCATCAGACTAGACTGCTGCTCCTGTCTCCCTAACCAGCCAGCACCAAGTCTGGCATTGCTGGGAGCTTGCTAGGTGCATGTAGACTGACTGCCTTGGCACCTGCAGAGGCGAGGGGACAGCCATGCTGCCTCCCTGCCTGTCCTCCCGCCAGCACCCACTGACCCTTCCCACCTCTGTCCCTCCCTGGCCGCCGGGCACATCCAGATGTGACCTCTGTGTGCAGCCAGTGCCCTTCTGACACTGACTTAGGCACAGAGCCCCCTTCCTACGCTGGCCCCTTGATTGACCACCTGATCCACCCCCGCCCCCCGGGCTACATCAGGGCTCCAGGGGGGCAGGCCGGGAGCCCCAAGGGTGAGAACAAAGAGCAAGGATCCAGGCAAGAACCCATGTGATCTCAGATGAGTAACTGCCTCTCTCTGAAGTCTGACGGCCAGGCAGTGAGGGACTGGGACTCCATCAGCTGGGGCCGCACCTGCCCGCTCACCTCTGCTGCCCCTAGGTGCTGCCACGCCCACGACTGCTGCTACCAGAAGGTCTTTGACCAAGGCTGCCGGCCCTACGTGGACCACTATGACTACACCATCGAGAACAGCACTGAGATCCTGTGTAGTGAGTGCCTCCCCCGCCCCCGCCACCCCCAGCCTGGCCAGAGAGCACAGGCTGCAGGCGCACGCCGGGCACCGCTTTAGTAGAAGTCTGTCCCAAATACCGCGTGCGACACACCCATGCTAAAATGCAGCTGGTAATATGAAGCTAATTAATATTAGCTTACAATTAAGAATTTGCATAAGCAGTTAGCGTCAGTACTGATTTCTCCCAGTCCTTTCTCCCCCCGGGGTGAGACAGAGGGAGGGGCCTGGGAGAGCAGAAAGAGACTGGCAGGGGGCGGGGTGAGTTGGGCAGACCCACCCCCTTTCTGCCTCAGTTTCCCTTACTGCCTCTCCAGTTTTAGGGTGCACAGTCAGCTTGCAGGGGTTGTCACAGCACAGAGGGGGTCCTGGGGGGTGTGGGTTGGCCCAGGGGGGCTCCCAGAGGGCAGGCACTGCTCCTCGTCCCCCCGTCTGGGGAGGTGGGGGTGGCCCTTTACCCACAGCCTCTGCCACCCGCCCCCCAGGCGAGCTCAACGAGACCGAGTGTGACAAGCAGACGTGCGAGTGTGACAAGAGCGTGGTTCTGTGCCTGCAGAAGCAGATCTACAGGGATCAGTACCGCGGCTACCTCAACATCTACTGCCAGGGCCGCACGCCCAGCTGCAGCATCTACGACCCGCCGCCCGAGGAGGTGGCCTGCGGGCTGGGCTTCCTGCCCACCCCTGCCCCGCCCTAGCCCCCTGGAGGGCTGAGAGAGAAGAGGGGCTGGCGGGCTGGCTGGAGACCGGATGGATGGAGCAGGTGGGGGTAGGGAGATCCTGGGCCCTGGCAGGACCACGGCTCCCCCAGTCCTGCGCTAGGCGTGGCCGTGCCCTTGTCTCTGTTTCTAGGCACGGTGAGAAGCGTGGGGCTTGGCCGGGGGTCTCTCCTGGGGGCTGGGGAAGGCGAGGCCAGAGAGAAGGGGCGGGGCTTCCGTTGTGGTGCCAGCTTGACTCCCTGGGGACTTCAGGTTCCAGCCCCTGAGCTGCCAGCTCAGGTGCCAAGCCTGGATGCCTCCTAGGGCCGAGAGCCCAGAGAGAGAGAGTGTGGGCATGGGCTGGGGCCCCGGGGACCCCGGGCTGACCCTCACCGTGGCTCAGGGTGACCTCTGCTTAGGGACTTCCTGCACAGTAGGTGGCCCCACCTGGCCTTGGCCGAGGTGGCACTGGAGGGCAGGACCCAGCAGCCTGTGTCCCAGCCCTGTTACCCAGAATGCCTCACAGCAGGCTCCCAGGCACTGAGAGGTCACGTGGCCAGGGACACTCCCACCCAAGCACGGCCCCCAGCCCTCGCAGGCCCCCCCATGTAACAGGTTCGCCCCACCCTGCTCTGCAACACCGCCTGGTTCCCGGGAACACCCCTGCCCTCCCCAGACCTTCTGGCCCTGGGGAATGGGCAGGGACCCCGTGTCCCTGCCAGGGGGAGGCCAGGCCAGCTCTAGACACCAGGAGTTCTATCCACTGGGAAGAGGCCAAGGGCTGGACCCACCTCAGTGAAGAGCGTCCCAAAGGGGGGAGGGGAGAGTCAAGGCTGGAGGCTGTGCAGAACATTCCAGAAGATAGCAGGGCCGGGTGGTGAAGCGGGAAAGGGGAGAAGTCGGGAGTGGGGGAGACCTGGCCAGGGCGGCCGTCTCGAGTAGCAGCAAGGGATGGCGGCAGGGGACGGCGTCTTGGGGGGCAGGGGCCAAGGGGCACGGCGGGCAGAGGTGGGGGTCCGGCCGCAGCAGGCAGTTTCTCCACTCCGCCAGGAGCCGCCGGTCCGCAGTGCGCCTTCCTGTCCGCCCCGCCCACCCTGACCTCCCGGGCGGCCATGGCCTCCGTGCAGCCGGCCCCGGCCTTGCATCCGCCTCCGGCCTTCGGCCTTCGTCCCCTGCCAGCCCTGAGGACACTCTGACCCCACGCCCCCTCCCCCACCCCCAGCCAGCCCCAGACCCTGAGAAAGGCCACCAGGAGGCTTGCCTGGTGGGGCCTTGCCTAGCAGTGCCCCCGCAGGCCATAGCCCCGGGGGCGGCGGGAGGACTGAGCAGGGTGGAGGCAGAGGTGGGATGGGCCCAGGAGCCCACAGGGCAGCTCTGGTACCGAGACAGGGGCCTTCAGCAGCCACCTCCTGCCGGCCCAGGTGTGAGGCCACAGTGGTCACCAGTGGGCCTGACCCGGCCTGCCGGGCCCTGGGATCTTCCTGGTCCTACCTCCCAGTACCCCAGCCCCCCGCTCCAGCTCACGCCATCTGAACCAAACCCCTCAAACCAGGGTGGAGCTGGCATGGGGTGCCCAGGCCCTCCTGCAGGGCCCAGGCTTCCGGCCGTGCCCTTCCCAAAGCCCAGGCCGGCACTAAGGCTCGGGGGCCCTGGGGGCCCTGCCCAGCCCCCTCGGCCCCGGGCCATCACTCCAACTCGCCCTCCCTGGCCGGCTCCAGCGTCCCTGTGGCCACTCACTCCCCTCCCAGCCTCCCGCGCTGGGGGAAGCAGGCTCCCTGATACCCAGTGGCCGGCAAGGTCCGGTCCCCTTTTGCTCCCAGCCTAGGGGCCATGGTCCTGCCCCAGTAGAGAGAGACTGAGGTGGGGCTGAGGCCACAGGCACCGGCGTCCACCTCTGAGTGGACAACTGGGGCCCAGAGAGGGAAAGCCACTCGCCGATGTCACGGCGCCGGGCAGGGTCCCCCACACCTCTGCCCCAGTGATGACCCAGGCAAGCCAGAGCAGTGGCAGGAGTGACCAAGTGACCAAGGCCCCAGCCCGCAGTGTGTGCTCTGCCTGCTCTGCCTGTAACGCACACTGAACCTCAGTTGTCCTGTCTGTGAAATGGGTCTATGTCTTAGGCCTGAAGTGTCATGGGCTTGTTATGAGAGCCACTGATAAGGAGTAGAGGTGAGGTTGTGAATGGGGGGGGGGTTGGATGTCAGCGCCCTTAGGATTCAGTTTGCATGCAGGATGTGCATTCAATAATATAGACGTGGGGTGGGAGCCGTGGGAGAACTCAGCAGGCAGCCGGGCCCCGGGTCACAGCCCTGCCCCTTCTCAGTTGCGGGCAGAGACCAAGCAGCTGCTACCAAAACATGGATTTTCCCAGAGCCCCCCGGGGTGACCTGGGGAGGAGGAGCCCCACCCCGCCTTGAGTTGAGCCACTCTGCTCCCCCTGTAGTGAAGGGCGGGGCGGGAGGGAGCGCTGTGGCTGCACCGCGTGGGAAGTCGCCGGCCGTGTCGGGGCCCGGGGCAAGCTCGGGACGCTCTGCCCTGGTCCAGCTGCCCGGAGCGTGCACCTGACAGGCAGAGGCGACGCCTCAGTAGCTGGGTCCTTGTCACCCACGTGGGAGACAGGGAAGGAGCTCCTGGCTCCTGGCGTCAGCCTGGCCCAGCCCTGGCTGTTACGGCCATTTGGGGAGTGAACCAGCAGATGGACGACCTCTCTCTCTCTCTCTCTCTCTCTCTCTCCCTCCCTCTGTCTCTGCCTTTCAAATAAATTAAAAAAAAAAAAAAAAAAAGGAAAAAGATTTCAACTCCCTGGCAGGACTCGCTCTGTGACCCTACTCCGAGAGCAAGCTGGGGCCTCCGTCCCGGGGCCTGCGGCCTGGGAGTGTGACAGGCGGGGAACTCACCCCTTCACGAGCGGTGCCTGGGCACTAGGTGTGGGGCACTGGGTGTGGGGGACACTGGGAGTGAGGGACAGTGGGGGATCACTGAGTGTGGGGGGACAGTGGGAGTGGGGGACAGTGGAGGTGGGGGACACTAGGTATAGAGGGACAGTGGGTGTGGGGGGACACTGGGTGTGGGGGACACTGGGTGTGGGGGCACAGTGGGAGTAGGGGACAGTGGGGGAATCACTGGGTGTGGGGGACAGTGGGAGTGGGGGACAGTGGGGGATCACTGAGTGTGGGGGGACAGTGGGAGTGGGGGACAGTGGGAGTGGGGGACAGTGGGGGATCACTGGGTGTGGGGGGACAGTGGGTGTGGGGGACAGTGGGAGTGGGGGACAGTGGGGGATCAGTGGGGGGGGGACAATGGGTGTGGGGGGCACTGGGAGTGTGGCAGGCGAGGAACTCACCCCTTCATGAGCGGTGCCTGGGCACTGAGTGTGGGGGGACAGTGGGAGTGGGGGGCAGTGGGGGGATCACTGAGTGTGGGGGGACAGTGGGGGATCACTGAGTGTGGGGGGACAGTGGGAGTCGGGGACAGTGGGGGACCACTGGGTGTGGGGGACAGTGGGAGTGGGGGACAGTGGGGGATCACTGGGTGTGGGGGGACAGTGGGAGTGGGGGACAGTGGGGGGATCACTGGGTGTGAGGGGACAGTGGGTGTGGGGGACAGTGGGGGGACCACTGAAGGGCACAGAGCATGGGGTGCCCCAACAGGGCTGTGGGGAGCTGGGAAGGCAGCTGAGGGCGGGGGGAGTTAGGAGCAGGAGTCCTGTGTTCGAGGTGGGACCCCCAGCGGTGGCAACCTGGAGGCCTTTAGTCCCTCGGGACCCCTGCTGAAGTCTGAAACCTGAGGGTCTTCCACACTAGGGCCTGAGGGCGCTGTCCGCTCCTCCCTGGCGGGGGTCCTCGGGCTCTGGGCCGACCCAGGTGCATCCCAGTCTCTGGTGACTCCTGGCCCCTCCCTTCCCCTCTGCCAGTTCCCAGGCCCCTCCTTCAGGGCCTGGCTGTTGTCTTGAACGTGGGCGACACCTGGTGGACACTGTGTGTCAGCACAGGCTCTTTGCTCCACACCTGGCGGAGAAGGCCCAGGACGGAAATGGCCAGGGGTCACCTCCTGGCCTTAGAAGGAGCAGCCTGCCAAGCCATGGCACAGACTGTGGCACCTGGCTGGTCACTTGCAGGCCACATGATCTCCGGCAAGTCCCATCATGCCCCAGTCTCATCCCTGCCCCTTCCCTCCGTGGGGTAAGGAATGAGTGTGCATGGGAGGGTCTCAGGACTCAAGGAAGTGGGGGAGGAGACGGCCCCCAACCCGGGGCCTGGGGAGCAGACACTGCCCTTGGCTCGCGTGTGGAGCAGCAGGGCCTCCGGTCAGGCCGGCAGGAGGAGGCGCGGCTGGGGGCCGTGGGGTGCCTGTGACCATGTCCCCAACATGGAAACCTGGCAGAAGCAGCTCTGTGGCTCGGGGGAAAATCTCCCTGCACGCAGGCACGAGGGGGAGCAGGAGAGAGACGAGGGAGGAGGGGCAGGAGGAGGAGATGGAGAGAGGGGCTCCCTGGGCAGGTGTCGCCCCCAAATCATAGCCAGGAGCCTTGCCCAGCCCTGGTCTCAGCAGGGCCTGCGAGCCGCCACTCCTTGTCCAGGAAAGCAAAGCCAGAGACAAGCACCAAGCGCCGGTGGGCAGAGGCGGGGTGCAGTCATCCCCCTGCTGCGGGGGCCCCGTATGCAAGATTCGCTGAGCACCTGCTGTGGGCTGAGCGCTGTGTGGGAGCTTCCCCGTGTCATCTCTTTGACCCTCTTACCCCAGTGAGCTTTGCCTCCCCGGGAAGCCAGGCCAACGACCACAGTCCTGCAGCACTGCCTCCGCAGAGAGCCGGGGACAGGAGACCAGAGTCAGGCCCGGCTCCCACTGCAGCCCCATCGTGCACCTGCTGGCCGCCCGCAACAAGTCGCTGGCCCTCGCTGGCCTGCCTTTGCCTCAGTGGCTCAGGGATGCGCAGGTCGGGGGACCTCCAGGTGGCCTGCAAGACAGCAGGTGAGAAAGAGCCTTGGCGAGGGGCAGGGGCGCCCAAGCACCTGCTGCTCCGGGTGCTGGGGGAACTGAGGCCCGGAGAGACGAGATGCTCATGTGACGCCGTCCTGGCTCCTGCTGCCTTCACCGGGCCAGGCCTGCTCTCCAGTCCCTCCCCCGCCTCCCGGGCTCCCCAGCCCAGCCAGGACCAGAACCGAGGCTCCCTCCCTGGCAGCACTAAACCCCTGGGCGAAGCCCCCAGGTCACCCCAGCCCCAAGTCTCTCCAGTCCTGGATTTCTGAAGAAGGGACAAGCCTAGGGATGGCAGGGCCACAGGCATAGCACCTGGCCTGGGAGAGCAGTGGAAGATGGCCCACGTCATGGGCCCTGCACCCGCGTGGGAGACCCGGAAGAAGCTCCTGGCTCCTGGCTTTGGATTGGCCTCACTCCAGCCATTGCAGCCATTTGGGGAGTGAACCAGCGGATGAAATACCTCTCTCTCTCTCTCTGCCTCTGCCTCTCTGTAACTCTGCCATTCAAATAAATTAAAAAAAAAAAAAAAAGATCAAGGCCATGCAGGTGGAGGGCGATGCGTCACTGGGAACCCTGCCGACCCCTCCTGCTCCCAGGACCAAGGGCAGCCTTCTCAGAGGGACCACCCACGGGCTTCTCCGGCACCCGACCGTCCCACCCTTGTCTCCCTTGCTCGCTCTCAACACCGCCCTCCACGTTCCATGGGCCCTACCCGGAGCTCCTCGCAAACTCCTTGACATTTCCAAGCTCTCTTGACCTCGAGTCACCCACAGAGAGGAAGAGAGTGGATGCCCAGGTGTGGCTATTCCAGTGGGGTGGGGGGGACTGTAGGCCAGGAGCATCAGTGGAAAGCACTGTGGGCCCTGGTGGTGAAGGCTGGAGCTAACCTGGGGGCCACCGGGGACCGGATACACCAGCAAGAGGTCAGCGTAAGCCCAGCAGGGGGCAGTGCTACAGCGAGGCCGGGGGCCGGGGGTGGCGCTGGGCAGATACGGCCTCAGAGGGTGAGTAGGGAGGGGCAGGGTCACTTGAGACGGAGGGGCCGAGGGTGGATGAGGAAAAGCTGCAGGAACAGGTGCCGACGGCAGATGGCAGTGAACGTGATACGAAGCGGCCAGATTCTAGATTTGTTCCCTCCCCCCCAGCCCCGTTTTATTTTTTTCATGGAAACACTTGCCTGATGCACTTTATAAATACGGCATCTAGATATACTTTGAAGGTAGTGGCAACAGATGGGATGTGGGATGTGGGATGTGGGATTGGAGAAGAAGAATCTGACATTCAGGGTTTTGGCCTGGAGGGGCCAAGACGGGGAGAGGCGGGGTGGCTGCGGAGCCGGCCTTTGCCTGTGTGGAGCTGGCCTCCCTCCCTCTGTGCACCCCCTTCCCCAGGCCGTCCCAAGTTTTCTGCCTCTTCCAGGCCCCTTCCACGACCCTCCTGGGTGGTCCTGAAGCTGGCCCCAGTCCAGCATTTCCCAGTCTGCTCCGCAGGTGCCTCCTTCCCCCTCGTCTCGAGAGTTCCTGGAGTCTGCTACGCCTTTACTCCCCTGTGCCCAGCACAGGGCCAGGCCTGGAGTCTACTGAGATTCCCCGGGCAAGCTGACCTTCTCAGGAAGGCGCGTGGCTCTGGCTCAGGCAGCTCCCAGTGGCTGAGCCTGGACAGCATGCACAAAGTCACGTGGCAAGCCAGGGCGTGTGTCTGTCCAAGTCTCTCTCCTTGCAAAGCCAACCGGCTTCAGTCGTGGAGTTCTGCCCTAAGCATCCAGGCCAGCCACTTCCCAAAGGCCCTCTGGAGGCACCACAATTGGATGAGTTTCCACCTTCCTAGTACCATTTCACATAGGGCTGTGGGGCTGCCCTCCTGCGCTGAAGGGGCGGGAGGTGGGGACAGACATTCAAGCCACACCACATCCCCGGGGAAACACAACACCATCCCTCTATGGGCCTGCCTTACAGCTGGGGCCCAGGGAGTGGAAGAGATGTCCCGGACCTCACGTGAGGACACCTGTGCCTCACACAGAGCCCAGCCTGGCCTCTCTCCCTCCACCGTGCTAGCCAGTGCTTCCCAGTCCCGGGCTGGTTTCTGCTGAGGTCAGGACCAAGGGAGGGAGATGCCCGCTGGCTCAGGCCTGGCCACCCCGGCTCCAGGCCTGTTTGTCTCCAACCACGCCCTTCACAGATGGCTCAGATGCGCCTCATGCTTGCCGACCTCGGGCTCCGCGTCTGCAGTTGCAAATCCCTGCACATGTGTGGGTAGGGAACCAGCAGACTACAGGCCGTGTGACTGTGCACACTGAGTGGGCAGAGCCCAGCAGCCCTGGCTCCCAGACCCTCTGCACCCCCTTCTGCCTTCACCTCTGCCCCTGTCTCAGTCCTGACTCCAGGTACCGTAACTCCTAAGAGCTGCAACAGCTGTCAGGGTTCTCCGCAGCATCTTTACACCAATTCTGTCGGTTTTCTTTAACTCTGTGGATCCCCGCGGTCCAGCACATTGCAGCTGCTCAGCCAGGTGTGCAGAGGATTGAGAGAACAGCTCTCTGTCATTAATACATGAGTCTGACTCTCTCCTTCCATGCCTACGAGGGCAGGGACAAGGGGCCATGCTACCACATTTTGGTGACCTCCAAAAGTCAGGCGCCATGCTGAGAGCATGGGACCCTCAATGAATATTAAAGACCTGTGACACCAGTTAGTTATCGTTGCACCACGAACCACACCAAAACTTGGTGGCTTAAACCCACAGCCTTTATTTAATAGGCTCACAGTCTGCACATCATCAGTTTAGGCTGGGCTCAGCCGGGCGGTTGTTCTGGTCTCGGCTGGGTTCTCTCACACATCCGCAGCTGTGGGCTGGCTCTGCGGCTGTCAGTTCAGCTCCCTCACACATCTATAGGCAGAGGCAGCTTGGTTCTCATCCTCCCAAGGCTACAACATGTAGACATTTGTGGGCCGTGTCCCTCGTAGAATGTCATAGAATGTGAGCTCCCTTAGGGCAGGCAGTTTTGTCCTTTCCATCTCTGATCTCCAGCTCAGGTGCTGAATGACAAGACAAACCCCAGGCCAGGGCACTCAGGGCTGAGCTGCAGGGACCGGAGCCTCTCCATGGCGATTTGAGACGCCTTCCCTGAACAGTGATGCTGGAGCAGACGCGGACACCCAGGGGGGCCCAGGCCCCCTAGCACTGGACCTTAGGCCTGCCACACTGTGGCCGGCTGGAGAAGGCCTGCTTGAAGGTTTTCTCGTAGGTGGGCAGGCTCTCCCTGAAGCAATACACAGAACGCTTGTCGCACTCACAGGCCTTCAGCCCGCAGAGGCAGCTGGCCCCAGGACCAAGGGTGCACCGACCTGTGGAGACACACAGGGTCACTGGGGCTCCCAGGCCACTCCCAGGGTTGGCTGCAAGGCTGGGGAGAGCAGGGAGCTCGCTACAGGGGAACAAGGGTTGAGGACACAAAAGAAAGAAACAGGGAGTCCTTTTCCTTGACCCCCAAGCCTCTCCTCACCCAGCTGCACCTGCTCAGCCCACAGATGCTGGGGTGAGGAGAAGCCTAGAAAGAAACAGAAAGAGGAGAGAAGAGTGGGTGGGCTTCAAGGAGGGGGCGTGAATTACTGCACACCCACGGTGCACTGGCCAGGGTGCTGGGACCTGTTTTCTCAGAGCTGACCTTGTAATTCTAACTGACTGCTTGACCTCTCACTCGGATGTCTCTGGCATCTCTGATGTGAGCTGGTCAGAGGGAGCCTCTCCACCAGATGAGGCCCCCACCTGCAGTTTTGCTTCCCACAGTTGCTGTTGCCCACAGTCCACTGTGGCCTAAAAATATTGATATTGGTCTTGATTTTTTCCAGTAACTGTCGCAATGGTTCTATTTTGTTACGGGATGTTGTTCCTCTGCCCCCTGCCTCATTCATAAAGGAAACTTTACCATAGAGATAAAGTTTCCTGTACATCCTAGATGGGGATGTGTAGGGACATGCATAAGCTGTGAGGGGACTTCAAGAGGTTCACGCTGGTGCCAAAGAATGCTGAAATCCATGCACAGTTATTTCATGGTACGCGTTTCCTATGAGCTTCCTGAAGACCCCTTATAGGAAAGATTTCAGAGTTTTGTGTGGCTCAGTGAGCTTATCTTTTTGTTCAATTTTCCCACAAACGGAAACACCCTTGTAGATAGGGTTTGGTTCTGTCTGCCGTCTCAGGCATCCGCTGAGGGTCTTGGACCGTGTCACCCATGGATGAAGGGGGATTGCGGTAGGGGTCCTCCCTCTGCCCACTGAGCCTGTCCTCCATCAGCTCTCAGCCAAGGCCACCATGACCAGCTCGAGCCAGACAGCGAGGGGCCTGGCTCGCTCCTCCCTTCATCCGCTCTGCCTCTCTCCCACATCCCCCAGGAAGTCCATGGGCTGCAGTGTCCACAAGCTGTGTTTCTCTTCCTCCTTGACCTGCCGGAGTCTGCTTCTCCCCAGTGGGGTGTGAACTCTGCAAGGCTAGGACCTGGTCTCTGGCATGTTGCAGTCTCCCCGGCATTCAGAACAGGTGCTGGGGAACAGCCGCTGGACAACTGAAGGGCACCTCTCCGACCTTTGAAATCAAACGTCCACCTTTGGATGAGTCACCACTAGATGGGGCCTTTGGTGTAGTGCTGTGTGTGCTTGTGTGTGTGCATGCCTGTGTGAGCGTGTGTGTGCCTATATGTGCGTGTGTGTGTGCCTGTGTGTGCCTGTGTGTGCACATGCCTGTATGTGCCTGTGTGTGTGCATGCCTGTGTGTGCAAGCCTGTGTGTGCATGCCTGTGTGTCTGTGCATGTCTGTGTGTACCTGTGTGTGCATGTGTGTGCATGCCTGTGTGTGCATGCCTGTGTGTCTGTGCATGTCTGTGTGTACCTGTGTGTGCGTGTGTGTGCAAGCTTGTGTGTGTCTGTGCATGTCTGTGTGTACCTGTGTGTGCGTGTGTGTGCATGCCTGTGTGTATGCTAATGTGAGAATGTGTGCCTGAGTGTGCATGTGTATGCCTGTGTGTGCAAATGCTTGTGTGAGAATGTGTGTGCCTGCATGTGCATGTATGTGCACGTGTGTGCCTGTGTGCACACAAGTGCCTTGCGTGTGCATGCCCAGGTCTGTGTGTACACACGTGTGCCCGTGCATGTGTCATATGTACATGTAGGGGGGCTGTGTAAGGTATAGCTTTCCTTTCTAAATAACCCCACACCAGTTCCACTCTTCTTAGAGTCGGGTGTGGGGAAGGGAGGACTCTAACCCGTGCTTGTGGCAGCCCCGCACTCGCGCAGCATTCTAGGGCTGTGGGGAGGCTGCTGCTGGCGACAGGAGGGGTGGCCTGGCTGTGCCGGGGCCCAGGCACGGCTCCACAGACGCCACTGCCGCTGGCCTGGGCAGGATGGGTGGCCCTGTCTCCCACTGGGCCCGACACCCGCTGGCTCGCTGCTATCCCTCTTGAAGGCACGTTCCTGCAGGAGGCTCCTCCCATACTGGTGGCTCCGTGGTGACGCCACCCCCCTACACACACTGACCCTAGACACTTCCCTCCCGTTCCTTCCCGTCCTTTCTCCTTAGCGTCCGCTCCTCTCCTCCTTGCCGTCTCTTCGTTCTCGCCCCACAGTCCTCTGCACGTCCTCCTTCTGTTCCTGCCCTTCCCCGCTTTGCTGTCTTCAGTTCTTCTGAGCCCTCCTCTGAGCCGTGTCTTCCCCTGGGCACTGTCCTCTCCGTGGCCTGTCGTGACCTGGAAGCGGAGGCGACCTCCACCCAAGAAATGCCCTCTTCGGAAGCCACCTTTCAAAAAACAAGCCCAGCGCCAGATCCTGCCTCCGCCTCCAAGGTGTGGATGGAGAAACTGAGGCATGAAGAGACGCACTGGCAGCTCCGAGTCTTAGTGCTCATTCCATGAGCTGCAGCGGCACAAGAGAGACGAGGCAGCAGGCCTGCCTGTGGCCAGCCCAGACCCTGCCAGGCTCCACGGGGCCTCCCCGAATCCTCCCTCTCTGGGATCTTGTTCGGTTCCAGGACTTTAAATGCTCTCAAGTCCTCAGTGCCAGCCCAGCCCCTCTGTGCATCCCAGATTTCCATGCCCATGTCTGCTTGCCACCCGCCCTGCGAGTCTGACCCATATCGTGTAGTAGTTGTTCGTTGCTCTAACAAGATACCTGAAGTTGGGTGATTTGTAAAGAGGCTTATTTAGCTCCCCGTTCTGCAGGCTGAAGGTACAGAGAGCATGGCTTTGGACGTGGCCAGGGTCCCCCAGCTGTGTCAGCTCACAGAGACCTCACGTGGGAGGGTGGAAGGAGTCTCAGGGTGAGACACAGGGGGCCAGAGAGATGGGGAGAGGCGGTGGGCTCCTGGCTACCAGCCCCCTTGCAAGAGCTCTCTAGGGCCTGATGAGAGCCCCCTTCACCTTTCCCAAGGGCAGTGCGCCCCAGTGACCTAACTGCCTTCCCCCAGGTCCCACCACCTCTCAGCACCACCGCACTGCGGGGGAAGCCAGCGGGGACACTGCCAACCGCAGCTGAGCCCTGTTGTAGCTCAGACTCGACATGCCACAGCTGCGGCTGTGCACACCGCTCTCCCTCACTTCACAAGCTCAGCCTCTCTCCTTCCCTCCCCCCTCCACACAGCTGCACCTCTGCCTCCAAACATCCCAGCATCCGGCGCCCCTCCCCATGCCCTGGCCTGCGCCACGCCATGACACCACCCTGGCCCGCACCATGGCCACTCCTCCCCACAGCTCCGCAGCAGCCTTCAGGGGCCCTGCCCTCTCCTCCCTGGCTCCCCCCCTCCTCTGCACAGCGGCCACAGCGATCTTACCAAAGCAAAACCAGCCCATCCCCTGCCTAACCCGTTGCAACGGCTCCTCTACCATGGAAGCGCCCACAGCCTCCCTTCGCTGCTTCCCAAGGCTCCTGCCGCACTGACTCTGAGGTCTCGGGGCAAAGGCCACCTCCTGGGAGAGGCCCTGCTGGACCACCTAGAGTAGGCGCCTTCCTCCTCCGGCCTCATCATTCCTGGCTCATCCCCTTGGTGGAGGCGCTTCGGAGCACCTGTGCATCCCGTAACCTGTCCACATCTGTGAGTGCACACGCTGTGGTCTCTCCCTCCAAGGGACACAAGCTCCCGACCGTGTCTTTCTCCTCACTGACGTCCAGCTCCAAGCGCTCACTCACTGCTTCGTCGTCAGCTGTCCATGTCGTGACCCGCTGCGCTTACTTGGTCTGCAGACAGGCAGAGCAAGGAGCCCACCGCCTGGACCTGGGAAGCCAGCTTCCAGCTCCAGATGCACCATGGGATGCTTCAGGACCTCGGGCAGGGTGCTTCTCCCCGCCCCTCCAAGCCCAGAGCCTCAGTTTTCAAATGGAGATGATGGCCTGGGCATTGCCTATTTCATGAAGTTGTTGCGTTCATTCATTCAGCAAACAACGAGGCTCCCACAACGTGCCTGGCCACGTGTCGGGAGCTGAGGGTTCAGGTCTGAGCACGCTGAGTCCGCGTGGCCTCCGTCCAGGCATGGATTCCGTGAGCTCTGGGAGAGTGAGTGTCCCCCACGCACCCCAGAAAGACTCTCAGAGGAGTGACGCTCTGGCTGGGGAGACTGGATGCCAGAGGCAACCAGACGACTTACGGGAGTGGGGCCAGCGTTGTGGCACAGGGCACAGAACTGCTGCCAGCCACACAGACATCCCACATCGGAGCGCTTGTTCCAGTCCTGGCTGCCCCTCTTCTCATCCAGCTCCTGGCTAATGCTCCCGGGAAGGCAGCAGAGGAAGGGCCAAGTGCTTGGGCCCCCGCCACCCACGTAGGAGACCAGAATGGAGCAGGAGACTGGCTTTGGCCTGGACCAGCCCTGGCTGATGTGTTCATTAGTGGGGTGAACATGTGGATGGAAGATCTCTCTCTCTGTCTCTCCCTTCCTTTCAAATAAATAAATACACATTTTTTAAAATATAAAAGATGACTTCAGGAAGACAAAGGTGAATTGTCAGCGAATGGACGGACTCAGAGTTTTGCGATGGGGCACTGGCAAACTCTACACTCCACCGGCTGCTTCTGCTGCCTTCCTCCTCTGGCGGAGGGAGGCGTCCGAGGCCTGGAGATGGGGTGACAGTGGCACACTTGGCTGGGACCCGATCTCCACCTCCCACACCCAGTTCCTCCCCCAGGACTCATGAGCAGCTGTGTGGGTGGAAGGGGGGTGTCACTGCCCAGCGATCTTAATGTCCTTTCTCCAGGCCAGGCACTTCCATCAGCCCACTCAGAGACAGGCAAGCACCTCCCAGGCGGCCCTCGGGCAGCTGGGCAGCCATCTGCCCCAGGCAAATTGGCCCCTGGGCTTGGGTTCCGGCCTTTCTTTGCCCTGGAGTCCCAGTGGCATTTAGGTGGACCGTGTTGTTTTCCTTCGTTCCCTCCTCTGCTCACCTAGCGCATCCCAGAACAGCGCTGGTTGCTGGTTGCCAGGCAACCTGGGCCTGGGCTTCAGAGCTGATTTGGGAACTTGGGGGAGGCTGGGGAGGCGGTTAACCCTCGCAAGGGCAGCTCTTTGATCCGAGGTGTAACTGAGCTCCTCCAAGAAGCCTCTGAACAATCAGGAAGAAAACGCCAGCGCTCTTCCCACAAAGGAAAGGGAAGGAAGGGCGTGGGCCAGGCGCCCACAGGGCGGCCCCTTAGCGGGGTTGCTTGAGTGCCTTCTTCCAGGAACATCCTGGGGTGCAGGTGACAAGCTCTCTTTACAGATGCAGAGACTAAGGCCATGCCAGCAGAGGGCGGGAGCTGAGATCCCATCCAGCTCTGCCTGACTCTGAGCCATCTAGATCATTCCACGGGACCAAACTCCATCTGCTTCTCTTTGCTGGCTCTGAGCCAGGGCGGGACGCGGTGGCCAGATGGCTGCAGGCCGGGAGGCTTGCGGTGGTGCGAGAGCCCCCCACAGGGCAGGCTGGTGTGAAGGCAGAGTGAGCCGGGTCTGAATCCCCACCCATCTCTCCCTGGCCTGGCCATGTGACCTTGGCCAACTCACTCAACCTCTCTGAGCCTCAGGTGCCCCTGGGAGATTTGTCCTGAGGTCTCAAGGCACTGTGTATAAAGCATCTCTCATAGGAGAGATGAACCACAGCAGTTGCCATGGTAACCACTCCATGGATGAGGAAACCTAGGCCTGCCGATGTGTGCTCAAGACACGTGTCTTATTCTTGCCTGTTACTCGGATCAGACCCTGCCCCCCGAGCCTCAGTCTCCCCTTTATACACCAGGGGTTGGTGTGGAGCGTCCCTCAGGGTGCATTCAGCTCCGATGTTTCCAAGAGACCACAGACTCCAGGGCCTGTTCGGTGTCCCGGGATCTGAGAACAGAACGTTCCATGTAGGAGGGGATTGAGGCCCCCAGGGGCCCTGGCAGATGAGTGCAGGGAAGGAGTCAGCCCAATGCCCAGGCTCTCACAGGTGTGAGTAAGCACCCCTGGGGTGGGTATGCCCCGTGCAACCCCACAAGGCCAGGTGGGTCGTGAGCTGCAGTCAGTAAGGGCATCCACGGGCTGGTGCTGTGGTGCAGCAGATTAAGCTAGTTCAAGTCTAGACTGCTCCACTTCCAATCCTGCTCCCTGCTAATGGCCTGGGAAAGCAGCAGAAGATGGCCCAAGAGCTTGGGCCCCTGCACCCACGTGAGAGACCTGGAAGAAGATCCTGGCTCCTGGTTGTGGCCTGGCCTAGACCTGGCCATTGTGGCCATTTGGGTGAATGAAACAGCAAATGGAAGATTTCTCCCTCCTCTCCCCTCCCCCACCCCCTGCCTCCGCCTCCACCTCCACCTCCACCTCCACCTCCACCTCTCCCTCTCTCTCTTTCTGTCTGTAACTCTGACTTTCAAATACACAAATAATAAAGGGCATCATGCCAGACAGAAGAGCCTCTCCATGGGCTACTGCCCAGCCCCTTCCAGGTGGCTTCATCCACAGTCGCCCACACCTGCCGACCCCAGGACGTGCAGGTGCCTGGGTCACTCCCTGCAGGGCGGGGGGGGGGGGGTCACACTGTGCACCTGCTCCCCCGGCTCTCCCCTTCCTCCTCAAACAGCCTCAGTGGCACGCGAGCCCCCTGCCCCTCCCCTCCTAGTTACCTTTGTGTCCCCCACAACGCGGAGCAGAGCACTTAGCTCTTACTAAATATTTGTTCAACGGAAAGACAGTTGTGTTGCTTTGTTAACGCGCCGCAGGAACAAGGAACAACATCCCCCAGGGCCACGGTTGCTGGGGTCGGCTGCATACCTCCGTGTCCTCCCCGATCGCCACTGAGTCCGTGCCACGTGCCAGGCGCCCAGCTCACAGGGGCTGCGGGCAGCTGGTGTGGGCAGAAGACACCGGGCGAGACCAGACAAGGGCCGCCCAAGGAGCTCTCATTCTTGGAATTGGCCCTCTGTGACTCAGAACCCTCGGGGAGGTGGTGGTGGGGGGGGTTAATCCCATTTTGTGAACAGTTCCCGGGCTAAGCAGCAGGTGAGTGTTAGGGGACAGCCCAAGTTCAGAGGTGCTTTCCCACATGCGAGGTTACTCACAGACCACGGAGCCGTTGACCACGTGGAACTGGTAGCCGCTCAGCACCGGCTGGCAGCCCAGTGCCTTCAGCTTCTCATAGCAGCAGTCGTGGGCCAGACAGCACCTGGGGCCAGGAGGGAGGGGGTGAGGGGCTGCGCCTGCGGGGACGCACCCTACCCCTGGGCGGGCGAGAAGGCACTGCCGGTGGGGTGGCTGAGACGGTCGCCCCTCCACAGCCACAGGAGGGAGGTTGGTTCCAGGACCCCCCAAAGTTATTAAAATCAGCAGGCGCTCAAGCCCCTTATATAAAATGGCACAGTATTTGCACGCAGCCCACGCATATCCTCCCGTTTATTTTAAATCCTCTCTGGATGACTTATCACACCTACTACGAGGGAACTTCAGGAAGTCTGTGGAACAATAGAACTAAAAGACAGGTTTGTTTCAGGGCAAAAATTGTGAAGTCCGTGCATAGTATTTTCATAATACGTGTTTTCTGTGAGCTCCTTGAAGACCTCACTGATGCATGGATTTCAACATTTTTTTTTTTTGCAACAAAAGCAGCTTATCTTTTAATTGCATTTTTCCAGGAATCTTTTGAAGTACCCTTGAGTGATGTGAATGCTACAGAAATCGCTCTTGCATTGTACCGTTTTGGGGAGAGTGACTGAAAAATGCTTGCCCATGTTCAGTACAGATGCAACTTTTTTCCAAATATTTTTAATCCGCTGAACGAGGGGTAGCAAAACAGAGGGCTGAAATGCCAGGAAAACCACTCCCATCTCTCTCTCTCTCTCTCTCTCTCTCTCATTCCTACCCTTAGGCACACTCTTTGCCAGCTAGTATTTTTGGCCAACAGGGTTATGTTTCTGATCTTCCTTTGGACTTGGACAGGGGAGAGACTGAAAGAAGCAAATTTTGCTTAGCCCCCGACTTCGCCTCCTAGGAGCTGTGTGGGTTGGTGACTTGGTCTTGTATCCTCACAGTCCTCACCTGTGAAATGGAGGTGGGGACTGTGCCGTGCACACTCAGTGTGAGGCTTGGACTACAGCCGTGTGCAAATTGCCAGTGCCAGTGCCAAACACCTACCGGCGTCTTGCAAGCAGCAGCACCCTTCCAGGGCCCTGGGGACTTCCAGCTGGAACATTCCCTGATCCCATGACCCCAGGAGACCCGAGCATCAAGAACACTGTTAGTCCTTGCTGTGGGGACGGATTTATCCACGCTGGGTTGACTGCAGCCAGCAGCGTTTCTCTTTCTTATTTCTTCATCACAAACAACACACAGACTGGCCTGTTTCTCCCTCCCTGGGCCCTGCCCAGACTGGAGCAGCCTCCGCTTCCCCCAGAAACTCACACTCCCCCAGCTCCATCCTTAAGAGGAGGCCTGGAAGCCAGGTTTGTGCCATGTGACTGTGCCCAGATGGACTTCTCCAAACTGGGCCACACTTGGACTCTCTGTCCTAGAATATGGTATTAGGACTGCGAGGCCTCAAAGCAGTCTTGCTGCACCTGCAACCCTCAAAGCCGGAGAGCCAAGAGAAAGCCCGTTTGCCATAAGGGTGAGAGATTTCTAGAGAGCTGGGCAGGACTGACCCACAGGGCCCAGCGCAAAATGAGAATGCGGAGCCCGCTAGTCAGGATCTCCATGTTGTGATGGCAGAGCAGTGGGCTCGGCATGCCGGGCCCCGGGCGACACCGCCGGTCACACAGTCAGAAGCTGGCACAACAGTAGGGTCACCTCTTGGGACACCTGTATCCCCTATAGGAGGGCCTGGGTTCAAGTCCCGGCTCTGCTGCCGATCCAACTTCCCACTGATATGCACCCTGGGGACAGCAGGTGACGCTGTAGTACTAGGGTCCCTGTCACCCACATGGATCGAGTTCTAGGCTCCTGGGTGCAGCCTAGCCCAGCCCTGGCTATTACAGGCATTTGGGGAGCGAATAAGCAGATGAAAGACTGACTCTCTCTCTCCCTCTCTCTCTTTCTCTCTCTCTCTCTTACAACTAAAATGAAAATAGTTAAAATTTTTCAAAAGAGGCTGGCCCCAGACCTAGGTTCCTCAAGACCACCCACCCAACCCCCTGCGAGGCCCCCTCCGTCTTTTCTTAGGCGAAGCAACAGCAGCTTTTGTTACGGCCACGCAGGAGTGCTGACTCCCCTCTCCAGCTTCCAAGTAGACTTCAACGCACGTCAAGTGCTGGCCGGCCCCGGGGCCTCTGCACCCACCTGTCGGTGTCATCCACGGGGGTCCCTTTGCCCCCCAGCCCGCAGTAGCAGCCATAGCCGTAGTAGGAGAAGAAGGCGCTCCGCCCCGTGATGCGCTTGACCATCCTTTGAAACTGCCAGAAGCTGCTGTGTGCCGGCGCTGCCCCTGCCGACGAGCAAACAAGGAGGAGGGAGGGTGCAGTGAGCGGGGGCTGCAAATCGAGTGGGCGTGGTGGGGTCCTCAGCCCTGCCTGGGGTGGGGGAGGGGGAGAAGACAACGGGGCCAGGTGTTCCCTAGGGACACAGCCAGCTCCTGGCCAGCCCAGCACAAACATCCCGCTGGATGCCAGCCACACAGTCTGCCCCCTGCAAGCAGGAAACCACCGGGCCGGACAGATGCCCCCAGGTCTGGGGCGACGTGAACAGGAGAAGTCCAAAGCCAGACGTGCCAGTCCCCACAGGCTCAACAATCCTGCGGGAAAAGCAAAATACTGGAGGCAGGAAGGTCATCCCCACCCCTGGTCTGTTTTTATTAAAACAAATACACCTGGACCCAGCAATCTTCCCTTCTCGGAAACGCTTACAAAAGTGGGCACGAGCAGAAGCACAGGGCGCTGGCTGCAGCATAACTTGTGATAGCGGAAAACTGGAAAGCACCCACAGGGAAGAGCGGCAAGACCTTGAGTCTTGACAACGTGCCGAGGCAGCAGGGTTGGGAGGCAGGGACAGGCAAGGCTGTTTTGTGTACTTCTCTGCCGTCCGATTTTTTCATGATGCATATTTCTATTATGCGGGTTTAACCGTGCGAGTATAAAGCCTGAGGGGAATGGGTCCCCGACTCTCAGGAGCAGTGACACCTGGGTGCAGGGGCAGAATTGAGGGCCAGGAAGGTCAGGGAGGGGCTCCGTCTTCTCACTCTGTGCCCATGCATTGGCCCTTTTCACTACCAGCATATATGAGTTTTGCAATAAAACATGAACTTGGAGAAGAGAGAGGGCATTCAGGGACTTCTCCTGGTGTCTTCTGGTCTCACTGGGGTTTAGGTGCCTTGTTGTCTTGAAGGGCAGTGGGGAGAGAGGGGGGGCCGTGAGCCCAAGGGTGGCCCCTGCTGCACACGTCAACCTCTGGGGCTGCAGAAGTGGCCCTTCCTGTGGCTGCGTGCCCCTGCACCGTGAGCTTGAGGACCGGGCATCCAGACCACTGACGAAGGGGGAAGGGAGGCCCATTTGGGGCAGTGTTGACTTACAAACCCAGAAGTTACAGCTCCACGGCCAAAGCAGACAGAATGAGGGGTGTGGGGAGCGCGCTCCTCCGCTGATCCTGCACACCTGCCTGAGTCTCCCACGGACCCCGGGCTGTTTCCCACTCCCGCGCTCCTCCGCTGATCCTGCACACCTGCCTGAGTCTCCCACGGGCCCCGGGCTGTTTCCCACTCCCGCGCTCCTCCGCTGATCCTGCACACCTGCCTGAGTCCCCCACGGACCCCAGGCTGTTTCCCACTCCCGTGCTCCTCCGCTGATCCTGCACACCTGCCTGAGTCTCCCACGGACCCCAGGCTGTTTCCCACTCCCGCAGAGGGACGGCAGCTGGGCTCCCAGCAGCAGCACCTTGCAATCACTGCTCATGTCCGAAGTCACCACGACAACGACTTCCCAATAAGAAGGAACTGTTCCCAGTGCAGCTAGATACACATCCGTGTTTCTGCACCGGGCAGCCCTCGAGGGTGGCAGGGCTGTCGTCACACAGCCCGCTTCGCAGAGAAGGCCAGGAGTCCGGCGGCCCTCGTGGTCTGTGGGACCGGCCCCCGTCCGGCAGAAGCAGGGGCACTTTGCCACACTGCTGATTCTCTTTCGAGTGGCTACACCTTCCCCGCACCCGATACCAGCCCTGGAGGCCCCCCGACCCCCCGGCAGAGACAGGACAGCTCCTGGTCCTCTCCCAGGTGACGTGCTACTTACAGCAGGACACAAAGATGGCGAGAACGGCGAGGAGCCTCATTCCCGGGGAGACGGGCGGGCGCTGAGGCGCCAGGGTCTTGCCGTGGTCTGAGCGTGAGCAGGCTCCCGGCTGAGCTCCTGTTTGGGCAGGCAAGGAGCAAAATGAGGCAAAGCCATTTGGGTGCGAAACCTCAACTGTCGTGCCCTCGGCAGGGGGCTCAACAAGAGCCTCTGCAAAGCTAACTATCGGTGAACGTGATGTCCTTGCTGGTCTCTAGACCTAAATATAACAAAAAATGGCTCCATTATTCGGACAGTGTAAGTTTTTTTTCTTTTAATTTCTTCTTGGGCAACTCTATCCCTTCATCTTTTTTTCACCCCCTTTCTGTCTGTCCCAGCCATAGACATTTACCCTGGGACCGGCGCTGTGGCACGGCAGGTTCAGCCACTGCCTGGTTCAAGTCTTGCCTGTTCCACCCTAGGAAAGCAGAAGATGGGCCCCTGCCACCCACGTGGGAGACCTGGATGGGGCTCCAGGCTCCTGGCTTCCGCCTGACCCAGCCCAGCTGTTCCAGCCACCTGAGGAGTGAACCAGCAGATGAGAGATCTCTCTCTCTCTCTCTCTACCTCCCTCCCTCTCTCCCTCCATTTCAAATAAATAAGTAAATCTTTTTTAAAAAATACATTTAAACCGCAGAATAAAACACAGCCTGGGAGAGCCCACGGCATTTGCACCACAATCCCACAGATTTCCTTCCTGGTTCACGGTTCCTCTTACGCATCAACTCAGCCCCTGCAAGTGACGCTAAAAACGCCCACCAGCGCCGTCAAAACCGTTGTAGGACATGCCGAGGGCTCCACGCACATCACGCTCGGCCATTCTCACTGCAACTTGAGTCTCTATGATCATTTTAGAGATGGGGAAACTGAGGCCAGACAGCTTGAGTAAATCCCGCAGTCACTCAGTTGTATGGGGGGGGGGGGCATTTGTCATACTGAAGGAACACTGCTTTATATGGTAAACTGCAGCCGCAGGAAAAAGCACCATTCTTGCGACTGTGGGACAGCAGAGGAGAAGGCGGGCTTGGGTCCCTGCCGGGGAGCCGTCACAGGCCCGGGCGCCAGCTTTCTTTACACACAAGTTACAGGCCCCATCACACATCAGGCAGAATCTGGTCACATCAGGGCTTGAACAGCTCAGCGGAGCCCAGAGAAACTGGCAGGTGCGGAGCCGCAGGTAGAGCTGCAGCCGGTGGCAAATCTGCTGGACCCTGGGTGAGTTAGCCCGGTGTCTTGGCTCTCTTCGCCACCTCTGGCAAAATTATGGGGAGCACTGCAGGCCTGGGTCCTGAGCAGGCCCGGCCCCGGCCGGCTTTCACTGCGGCTGCTGGGCAGGAGGCTGCAGGGAGGCCCCGGCCCTACAGGCTCGCCGCCCCATCATCTGCACGGGTGCCGTCCACCATGAAGGGACTCGCGTCTCTCAAACAAGCCGGGGACGGTGACACCTCAGAGACAGCAAGAGAGGGGCAGGGTGCACGTGTGGGCGGGGATACGGCAGACGCTCTTCCAAGCACAGGACTCTGGCCGAGGGAGGCTCCGAGCCGGCTGGGGAGCCAAGATGGGAGTCTGGGCCAGAGGCAGACAAGAGAGCCCGGCCGCAGGGTCTGCCAGGTGCTCCCCTCCCCCACACTCGCTCCCTGCAGCTGGGACGGTGCGACCCAGACTACGAACCTTCCCTCGGAGCAGGGGCGGAGGGGTGGTGGCTGCAGCCCGCGCCTGCCTGAGGTGGGGCCGTCTCCTCACTCCGTCCATCCATCCTCAAAGCTCCTTCTGGCTCCAGGGCTCCCTGGAGCAGCAGCCACCTGTGTGTGTCAGCTTCTCCCTCAACCTCAGCCTCTCCCATGGGGTGTCAGTTTCTAGAGCCGTGCATCAGTTCCTCTCTGTGCCAGCTGCTCTCTCTGTGAGCTTTTCTCTTCAGGTCAGCTTCTCCACCGTGTGCCAGCTCCTCTCTCTGCCAGCTGCTCTGTCAGCTTCTCTCTCCAGGTTAGCTTCTCCACCATGTGGCAGCTCCTCTCTGTTAGCTTCTCTCTCCAGGTCAGCTTCTCCACCATGTGGCAGCTCCTCTCTGTTAGCTTCTCTCTCCAGGTCAGCTTCTCTCTTCAGGTCAGCTTCTCCACCGTGTGCCAGCTCCTCTCTCTGCCAGTTGCGCTCTCTGTTAGCTTATCTCTCCAGGTCAGCTTCTCCACGATGTGTCAGCTCCTCTCTGTGCCAGCTGCTCTCTCTGTGAGCTTCTCTCTCCAGGTCAGCTCCTCCACTATGTGCCAGCTCCTCTCTGTGCCAGCTTCTCTCTGTCAGCTTCTCTCTCCAGGTCAGCTTCTCCACCGTGTGCCAGCCCCTCCCTCTCCTCAGTCTCCCAGTGCTCACTTCCTGCATCTCCGGGCCTCCCAGCCACGCCTGTCTCTGTCTCTGTCTCCGTCTCCCAGTCTGTTCCCAGGGGCTCCGTGTGGAAGCCATTAGGGCCCCGAGTGCTTGTGAAAGTGAGTGCCCCTGAGTTCGGAAGCCTCCTGAGAGGGCAGCAGACACTTCCGGCAGGAGGTGGCGGGACTGTCACATTCCACGGCTCGGAGGGAAGTGGCCTGAGAAAGACCACACAGGGGCCGGCGCTGTGGCGCAGCCCGTAACGCCTCTGCCTGCAGTGCCAGCATCCCGTCTGGGCGCCGGTTCGTATCCGGCTGCCCCACTTCTGATCTGGCTCCTTGATAATGGCCAGGGAAAGCAGTGGAAGAGGCCCTAGTGCTTGTGGGAGACCGGGATGAAGCTCCGGCTCCTGGTTTTGGGCTGGCCCAGCCCCGGCTGTTGCAGCCATCTGGGGAGTGAACCAGCAGATGGAAGACTTCTCCCTCTGTCCTCCCTCTCACTGTGTAACTCTTTCAAATAAACAAAAAATCTTATAAAAGAAAGAAGTTCACACAGCCTCTGCGGTGGAGGCCTAGGGCGGACACTCGGGTCCCCAGCGCCGAGTCGCCGTTCTTCCCTCCCTGGTCGCCGCCGGGACCTCTCGCTGCCTGCCGTGCGTTCCGAAGCTGTCGGCGCATCCTCACGGAGACCAGCCGCGATTCAGCAAGACGGCCGTGGCTCTCTCCACGTGCGTTAGTGCTTGGGGCTCATAGGACTGAGCTGAAATCAACCCAACAGCACAGGGCCAGAGGACCAGAGACCCAATCGGGGGGCGGGGTGTGGAAACGTGGCAGGGAGCGTGGGGTGGCCTCCCTGGTGCAGAGGGCAGCAAGGAGCCCCCGATGGAGCACGGGCTGGCTCTTCCCCTCCAGGAGAAAGAGCCAGCAAAATCTGTAAGGACGAGGCCACACCCACTCTGTCACCTCTTCATCTCCGGGCCCTCCCAGCGTAGAGCCTAGCATCAGTGGCAGTGGTGGGCCACCTACAGGTCACACTTCACTTTCCAACCCCGCACACAGTCCCTGGAAAAAAATGGAATTAAGAGATAAGTCGGCTTCAGTGCAAAAGAGTTTGAAATTCATGCATAGGAGGGGACTTCAAAAAGTTCCCAGAAAATGAGGACTATGAAAAAGCTAGGAATGGATTAAAAAAAAAAAAGAGCACCATAATAAACTCAGCTTTTCATCCTGTTCTTTCACAAAACTGCTGACAGATTTACTTACTTTTGTATTTATTTATGTGAAAGGCAGAGTGACAGGGCAGAGACAGAGAAAGAGGGCTCCTCCATCCACTGATTCAGTCCCCCAACGTCCAGAACAGACAGGACCTCCTCCCTGGTCTCCCACGCAGGTGGCGGGGATCCAAGGGCTTGGAGCGTCACCTGCCGCCTTCCCAGGCGATTAGCAGGAAGCCGGATCAGAGCAGAGCATCTGGGATTCAAACGGGCTTTCTGCTCGGGGACACAGGCTTCACAAAGGGGCCTCAATCAGCTGGCCACAACTGCCCCTTTCTCCAAAGTTTCTGAAGCATCCACGTATGCGTCACCCACCCAAGGGCTGTGCGTATCCAAAACACAGCCCAGAAGACAAAGCGCAGATCGACTGAGGCAGCTCCCCGGGTTCCACAGCTCTTATTTTAGACACAGTTCTAACAGGCGGCTCGGCCCCTGCGCCTCCGGCCCAGCAGGTGAAGAGGCAGGGAGCTGGAGTGGCTTTCTTAGGAGGAAAAGTGAGGAATGACACAGAACACGAAGCAGCAAAGCTCGGAACCCGAGGCCGTGGAGTGCAGGGGCAGACGGCTCACCCACCTCCACAGGACTGCACCGGGAGCAGAATTGTGGTCGTGCAGACAAGGCTGCATTGTGCAAACCGTGGCAAAGGTGGGAGCAAGTCACTCGGGCTCTACATCAAAGAGCAGGGCTGGAGCTGCTCCGCTGGCTCCAGACAGAGCCATCTCAGCCATCGGAGCCTTGGCCGCCTCATCTGTGGGCCGCAGACCTGGCCCCGGCCCCCGAGGAGTGCTGGCAAGCATCCAGCAGCTCATGAAGATAAAACACTTCCTAACAGCAGTCGGGACCAATTACACTGGAAAGGGGCCAGCGCTGCGGCCCAGTGGGTTAAGCTGCTGCTTGCCCCGCCAGCATCCCACACCCCAGTGCCGGCTGAGTCCTGGCTTCCTGCTAATGCACCTGGGAAGGCTACAGGTGAGGGCCCACGACCTTGGGTTCCTGCCACCCACATAGGAGACCCGGATGGAGGTCCTGACTCCCAGCTTAGCCCAGCCCAGTCCTGGCTGTTGCAGCCATTTGAGGAGTAAACCAGTGTTTAGAAGATTCTCTCTCTCTCAATCTCTCTCTCTTTTTCTCTCTCCCCCTCCCTGCCTTTCAAATAAATAAATCTTTAAAAAGACTGAAAAGCAGACAATACATTTCAGAAATTTTCCAGTAATGAGGAGCAAATAACAAAAGACGGCGATGCTGCCAGGGGTAGGTTTCCTTACCCAGAAACCTCCTTCCTGTGGGTCCCCTCGGGAAGCACACTCACCCAGGAGGCGTGGCGGACAGTGCCAGTCTCTTGGCCTCCCTGGGTTCATCTCCTGTGTCAGGGTCATCCATGACCTCAACCCGACACATCCAATGGCTCAGGGACTGACAAAGCGGGAGGCTGGAGGTGCTCTTGGCACTACGGGTCACTGATGTTAACTGGGGCCAAATGCTCCTTGGAGACTCGCTGCCCAGCTACGGGAGCTCGGCTGGGTGTGGTCAAGCCAGCTGCCGATGGACAGTCACCAATTGGCAGCCTGCTGGGACCCCCCAGAAGGAAAGCCAGCAGTGGAATCAGCATCATCGTCACCACACATCTCATTCTCACGGGCTGAGTGCCGACCGTGATGCAGACATTAAGGGGCAAATCAGGGGATGCCTGTCCCTGAGGCGCTCATGACCAACCACAGGACAGGTGCCTGGAGCTGAACACACGCGATGACCGTCAGCCCTCACGATGCACTCCCCAGCACCGGGCACTGTGCAGGTCACTTTACACGATCTCTCCCTTCACACTCAACCCGTCCTCTCGTTAGCCTCTCCATTCCACAGATGCGGAAATCGAGGTCCAGAGAAATCAGCTTAAATCAGCTGCCCAAGGCCCTCGGCTGGCAGGTGGCAGAGCCAGGATTCAAGTTCAAGCTTTGGTCCCCAGAGGCCAGGCCTGCCACCCTATGATTACAGCTTAAGAGACAGGAACAAGGGGTTCGAGGTGGGACTCTGGGGTACAGGGTGGGCTTCAGACCCGCCAGCTGGATGTGAGTTCTAAGACGGTTCTGCTGCTTATTCGCTGGGGACGCGGGGGGGCAGGGGCTCGGCTTTGCTACGAATCCAGGCCCAGGAAGCCTCCACCGGGAGAGTCACCAGCAGTGCTGAGTACCAAGGGTGTGTGGCGCCAGCCTAAGCTCCACCCGCTGGACCAGAAGGGACCAGGATGAGCACAGGAGGTTTGCTGGGGTGGGGGGGATATGGTCAGGAGAGGCCTCGTGGAGGACGTGGCTTTTAAGGATCACTTGGATTAACATCAAGGATAAGGGACAGACATGAGCAGACATTGGAGCTGGAAAAGCCATGAGTCCCTTTGGGGAACAGTTTGGCTGGAGCCCAGAGAGAGAAAGAGAGAGAGATGGGGAGTAGAATGAGACACGGCTGTAAGGAAGAGCGAGGCCACCGTGCGGCGGACAGGGCGGTGACACACACATCGTGGCCACTGCGTGTGCGCCACAGACCAGCGCTGGAGGCTTTTTCTTTAAAGAAGGCCGGACGATAAAGGCTGCAGGGCTGCAGCAACAGCCAAGGTGGCCGTCCTTCCTCCTCTGCAGCCGCCCGCCGGGGCAGTGCTCTCCACCGACCTGGAGAGCAGAAGGCATCGCCTGCGGAACACCACACAGACTCGGCCCGGCCTCTGCCACTGTGCTGGGACACGCACACACACACACACACACACACACGCATGCACACACAGGGTGAGCAGCCAGTGTGAATCTCTAAACGATTGCATAATTCTTAGGTGATACTAAAATAGCTGGGGAAGAATCCACTTTCATCTTTTTCGGGTGGGCGCTGCAGGGCTGAAAAGCAGCGCTTAGATATTCCTGACAGCATCATTAACAAGAAATCAGCCGCCCGCACTAAGCTGCCAAACCACCAGCTCCCGCACCATCCTGGGGCCACAGCGCATCCTGAGGTCCCCAGTGGGGGAGGGGGGAGACAGCCCCAGCAGGAGGCCGCCCCAGGGTCACCAGCGCTACCCCAAGCCCAGAGCCGCTTCCCTGCGTTGGACAGAACCACCACCACGGAACCCATCCCGGCTGTTCCAGCCCCAAAAGAACTTCCCGATTGCTCAGTCACTTGGCACATGCTCACGTCCAGCCTGTGCCTGCGCCTCTAGCCTTGGCTGAAACTGTATTAAAAATAATCTGACTCGTGGCGCCTTATCAGCACACAGCCTATCTTCCCAGGCCAACTGCAAACGCCTTGCAGGAAGACCAGCGGGATTGGGTGCCTACGGCAACCCTCTGTCTGGGGCAGACCAGAGAGCAAATATTTTGCCAACAAGGCCAGACAATAAAGGCCTAGTTTTTAATCTTCTAGTAACACAATTGCTAGATTAATTTGTCTGCATACTCCAGGAGTCCAGAACACAACCGGCACACAGCAGTCCTGTGAGGAGCCTGCTGGAAACGGTCTTAATTTCAGTTGAGAAGAAAGGCTTCATTCATTAGGCTGGGGTTGAAGAGGGGATGGGAATGAAGGGGAGGAGACTGGCGGGAGGGGGAGAGAACCTTCCAGGTGCTGATGTGAGGCTGTGGCACAGAGACGGCTCTGAGCACCAAGCAGGGGCGGTCAACCTTGCGCCCGCCCAGTGGGCAGCCCCTTCCCATGGCACAGGGAGGAGGGGGGACACCAGCAGGCAGCTTCGTAGGTTCCATGGCAAAGCTGGGCAAGTGGGTTTCTGTCTTCTCTCTGCACCGAGCACTGAGGTTCTTCTCCAAGACCGGGGACAGGAGGGAGACTTCAGGAAGGAGGTCAAGGTTTGACAGCTTTTGAGCCGAAAGGAGAGAGAACTAGATGGGGGTGTGGGTGTGGCGGGTATTGCCAGGCTTGCTGTGTAGGGCGGACAGTCCGGCTGGCCTGCAGATCACCCCCCCACCCTCGTCTACTGCACCAGCGTTAGTGACCAGTCAAGACTGGGACGCGAAGCTAGCAGGACAAGGGAAGGGGCAGGCTTGCCAAGAGGAGGGCTAAGGTGTGGACCACCAGACTCTCAACAGACCAGGCGGCTGGAAGTCCCAAAGATGGCTCAAGCGCATGAGTTGTAGTTTGGACACCAGGGGAGGTGTGGGTGCCACTGACCACAAGGTCCAGCATGTGGCCTCAGGGGAGGGGTGGGAGGCATGGGCTGAAAGGGGTACCCTAAATGCAGATGCTGCAGCCGGCAGGAATCAACCAGTCCCACAGCCTCATTTCAAAACTGGAGACCCTGAGATGGAATCCTACCCTACCCCTTGTCCAGAGCTGTCTTTTCCTCAAACCCACCCGCCCCAGGGGATGGAAATAGATGCAGGCCAAGGAGGACCAGGAGAGGTGCTGGCTGTGACAGGGAGCCTGCCTGTGGCCCTTGCAGATCCAGCTCCCCCAACCCGAGCCGGCCAAGGTTCCGGTCAGGCGCTCAGGCCGGAAGCACGTGCCCCCACCCACCCCGCAGCGGTTGCCCGGGAGACGGGACTGTTTACCAGCGGGACCCAGCGGGGCGCAGGCCAGCGGCGGATGGAGCGGTGAGGTGAGTGCGGGCCGCCTGCCCCTAGGGGTTCCTGGCCTGGAAGAGGAGAGGAGAGGCCAGTTCCGGAGTTCACAGGTGTCCCCAGGGGGCAGCCTCCCCAGACCCGGCCCCAGGAGTGTCCCGGGACACAGGACAGTGGCTGCGCCCCAAGGGCAAAGCAAGCTGGGCCGGAGCTCACCGTCGCCGAGATGGGATGCTGCCCGGGCGCTGCAGAAGCCGAGGGACCCCCGGGGCTGTTGGGCCATGCCCGCCTGGCGGGGCTGTCCAGATGGGGCCACAGACCCAGGGAGAGGAAGGGACGGCCCAGCTCCGGAAGCAGATGGCGCCGCCCCCAGACCTGCGCTCAGTCACCCAGGTCCCTGCCCACGTCCCCGAGTTTTCCTTGCCCCACCCCCAGCCATTCCTTCTGTTCCTGGAGCTTAGTCCCTTCTCTGGCTGCCGGTACTTGGGAAGATTTCTCTCGGCTGCCTCTTACCTTGGGACTGGCCCGTTCCCTCCCCAGCCCCTTGGTCACTTGTGGCTCAGCGCTGGGGCCAGCAGAGGCCAGCGTGGTTTCTTATTCGTCTGGGCTGGGTCCCAAAGTTTTCCCTGAGCTGGGTCAACACCACACCCTGTTGATTCCTCTGCGTGTTTTGGGGACGCGAGCGGGGCTGGTTGGCAGGGGGAAGGTATTAACAGATAAACATTTAAAAGACCAATTCGAATGTATGCATCTTGGTGTACCACAGCAGATGGCGTGTGGGTGGCTATATTTTTACTGCCTTTGCTGTAGGGTTCCTGTCGGGCTGCGAATGGAACAGGTTGATCTGACCCTGCTGTGGTGGCCGGGGGCAGCCTCGGGACGCTGACCCCTGGCTTCGGCTTCTGCCTTCGAGTTTGCTTTGTGGTTTTTGGTGATGGATCTTGAGGGTCGAGCACCTGCCCTTCGGGCAGCTTCCTGGATACAGTTCTCTGTGTTTGTTTGCTGCCTCCTAGCAAGCCCGTGGGGTGCAGCGATTGTGTCTGAGCAAACAGGCCACTTGCCTGTGCGGCGGGCGGTTGATGGATGTGCCGCCACCTACTCCGCCACCGCCACCAGGATCTTCTCGGATCGCTCTGTGTTTGAGCCTGTGCCAGGCCTGGAGGTGGTGAAGTGAGCGGAGTGGGGGTGGTGAGGGCGGCCGGCAGAGGTCGGGTGTGAGTATGAAGGCAGCGGTTGGCCTGGATCCCCAGGCACCTGTCCCCCCCCCACCTCCTTGGGGGGACAGTCGAGGTAACAGATGGTCCCTGGGGAGGAGGCAGGGGGTTGCGAAAGCAGGTTGGATGGAACTGTTTCACCTGAGGGACACATTGGTCTGTAAATAACAGTGAGTGGGTTCCTGGGAATTAGTCATAACTGAGCTTGCTCTCCGCGATGGCTCACAGCCATGTTCTCCTAGGACCAGGGTGGCTCGAACATGACTCCCCCTGAGCACGGATAATTATACAGGAGCGAGAGGTACAGGAGTGCATGCACACACTCAAGTGTTGCTGTTAAAAATAACCCGGCAGAGGGGCCTGTGCGAACGCATGGTGGAAGTTGTAAGGAAGAGGTTTCTAAGTTACCAAACTTACTGACAGTTAAGGCTTCCCGAGGCGGGTGTGGGTGTTGGGAGCCAAGCCTGTGATGGATCTGGAAAAGCTGTGGCAAATTAATGGCCACTGCAGGCTGCAGAAGGGGGGCTGCTTTACCAGAGAGCTGAGCCGAAGCCAACGGCTGCCTACAGTTACGGCTGCCTCCTGCCATCCGGGGCCAAAGTTGCAGAGCCACTTCACTGGATCCCCAGGGGAGGGGGCCGTCCCTCACAGCTGATGGGCAAAGGCATTGGGTTAACATGGAGCTGGGCAGGCTTGTTGGGTGCCAGAGCTTTGCTAAGGAGCAGGCTCCTCTACCACCAGCAGCCAGATTGGGTGTGAAAGACGAGGGAGAGGTGGGAAATGAGAGTAGGGAAGGAATCGGGTTGTGAGTAGACGCGAGTAAATGAGGGACCGAGGGGAGCTTTGTGCGTAGATTTGGAGCTGAGCAGGCGGGACACTGCGTGGTGATGGGTTTCGGTTTTGGTGGGGAGGATGAGGGTAGTCCCTAAAATTAGGCCACGGTGGTACCATGATGCCTAGTTCAGGGTTGTGTGATACCAGGATCTTGGCAGAGGGGGCTTGGAGGTAGAATAGAGAAGTGGGCCACTCGGAGATGGTTTCTCGCTGGGTGCAGAGGACGTAGGACTAAATGTACAAGTCCTGGGTTCTGTGTCCGGCTCTGCCACCTGCTAGCTGTGTGGTCCGCCGCCGGGCACCCTGCCCTCCTGGAGAGTCAGCCCGTGTCCAGATCCCTCCGCAGAGCTGGCTGGGACAGGGTTTGACAAATGCACAGCCCGTGGTCCAAATCTGGGCCCGGCACCTGGCTGTGTATGGCTCATGAGACAAGAATAGCTCTTACATTTTTAAATCCTTGGGGAGGGGGGAACAAAAGAACGATATTCTGTGACATAGGAAAATTACATGAAATTCAAATTTGGAGGCTATAAATGAAGTTTTAGGGAGACAGCCACACCCCGTTCTCTGTGCTGGGTACGGCTGCTGCGGCACCGCAGGGAGTGGGCAGGCCATGCGGCCTGCGCAGCCACACACAGCCAGGCTCCGGCTTGTGACACAGGCGCTTTGCTGGCCCCTGGACTAGAATCTGAGCGCAGGTGGCCAGACCCAGCAATGGAGGCTTCCTGCTCCGCTCCCCCCACCCCGCCGCCCCTTCCCACACTACCAGGGCGGTGAAGGGGTGCCCCCCACCCCGTTCTGTTCTGTGATTCGCGAGGCTGAGAGGAAGGACAGGAGGGAGGAGAATGAATTCGGGGCTGGCTGTGGAGAGCAGGAGAGACGGGAAGGGGAAACGGGGTGGCCGGGCAGGCCGACCCTCGCCAGGGAGGCTCTCCGGGGACTTGGTCCACCTGCCTCTGCGCTCTTGAGTGGTGCTCAAATGGGGGGCTGAACCCCATTTCCCTGTAGCTTCCCCAGGGACCATTGCTGAGCAGGCTTCCACGGCCACCCCCAAGGGAGGGAGGGTGGGGGGCTGCCCACGCTGGGAGCCTGCAGATTCCCTGGGGTGAGCCACGCGCCACCTGTCCAGGTCTTCCTCGTGCCCTCGCCCTCCCCACAACAGGCACACGTCTCCTCTGGCTCAGGGCTGGGCGCACACTGAAGTTGTGCTGGGACAGGCCACGGTCACTTCTTCAGCGGGCCATCCACGCTCGTCTCCACCTCCGGCGGCAGGGCTGGGCCTTGCACCCGAGACCATGGGGTTCCCAAAGCCAGAGGAATTGTGGGAAGAGTTGGCCAGCCCCTGCTCTGGCTGTAACGTGCCTTCCTCCTGAAGGCCCCGCCTCGTGAGAATAGCAGTACTGGTGCAGTACTTGATTTTCCTCCAAGCAGTGACTGCTCACTGACAACACCAACGTCTCTCCAGGTCTCTCCCCCGTCTTTCCCCACTGGAGTAATTTAAGATTCATGGCCATCGGCTCACTGATACAGTCCAAGTGCCTAGAATGAATGAATGAATTGCAGCTGGTGTCTCTCTCCAGATGCCAGAAATCCAGACAGAAGGCCCCCAGGCTGTGGCCCCTCCTTGCTTATTCCAGGTACCTGGGGAGTGACTGGCTTGGGTCCAGGACTCCCCGGAAGGTGAAACCATGGCCTCCTCTGTTTTATTGTTGTTGTGTTTTTATTTCCTGCTCCCTTAGGGGCCTTGAGAAGCGATGGCCACAGAAGCCCCTGTGAACATCACAGCAGCCGAGCGCGGCACCATTGTCAGCCCCGCCGCGAACGGCCTGCTTTGGCAGCCAGACTCACTCCAGATGCACGTGGCAAGGCCCAAGTCCGCCAAGGGCCGCACACGGCCGAGTCTGCCCCGAGCCCAGGGCACGGAGGCGAGCTCTCACCGCGCCCCGGCGTCTCCACCTCCTGCCGTGCCCTGCGAGTCGCTGAGCAACCAGAAGCCAGGGACCTGTGCACCCAGGTCTCCAAACCAGGGAGCCCCCATAGGACTCCCCGAGTGGCGGCAGCAGCTGCCTGCTGGGACTTCCTGCTCTCTCAACAGGTACCCGGTCCTTCCTTCCATCATGAGAAAGAACCTGGCGGCCGGGGCTGTGGACAGAGTGGCTGAAAAGGCCCGCTTGCTGCAGCTGGACAGCGTCCCGGCTCCTTACGCTCCAGAGGACTCCTACGCCGCGAAGACTCGCGAAGATTCCAGAGCCCTGGAGAGGAACTTCAGCGCCCAGCCCAAGACCCAGGCTTTCTGCAGGGCTGGGGACCTGGAGGAACCATCGGACCAAGAACCCAGGCTGCTGCTTGCCATCAGATCACCATCAGGCCAAAGGTTCATCCGTTATTTCCGGCCAACGGATGACTTACAGACCGTGGTGGCCGTGGCTGAGCGGAAGAACCAGGCCACCTACCGCCCCTGCAGCATCGAGACCGTGGAGGTGCCCAGGAGACGCTTCCCCGACCTCACCAAGTCCCTGCAGGAGTGCAGAATCCCCCACAAGTCAGTGCTGAGCATCTCCCGGGAAGAGGAGGAGGGCTGGCCCTGAGTCCGCAACAGCCAGCTGCGGCCTTGGGGCCCTGGGGCCCCGAGCAAGGGACGCGGCTGAGTGCTGGGACCTCCGCATCCGAGTGCCAGGCAGGCCTGGGGCCGCTGTGGTCCTGGTGATCCGTCTCCTCTGAGGTTATGGGGTCCATGCGTGTGCCGGGCTCACAGCTTGCTGGTGCCCTGGAGCGAACTGGCAGGGAATCCAGGCTGTTCCCGGAGACCCCTGTGGCTAGGACTCCTCTCCAGGGTGGCGAGTCTTGCTCAAACAGCTGCCCTTTCTGGTTGCCTTCACACAGAACTCTGCTTGTCCTGAAACCGCTGGTTCGCCTTTCTGTATTTGGTGCAGGATTAAACACTTCCCGGAGAGGATCTGGTGTGGTCAGTAGCCAGGGTTTAGGCGAGGCCTACCTGGCATTGTAGTTCTCGCGTGCAGCCGGGAGCAGCAGGCTGTGGATCCTGTCTTTGGAGGCACCCCCTCTGCTGGGCTCGGTGGGGCCACGGATTCTTGGGAAGTTACTGTTTGGGAGAGGGGACCACACGGGGGCCGATGGGTCCTGCACACCTCTGGCTCCCTCAGTAGGTCAGCATTCCTAAGTTAGTCCCAGCGCTGGAAAGGGCGTGGCTTCCGGGGCCCCGGATCAGCGGACTGCTGCTTTTCCGTAGAGAGGGACGGGGTCTGCAGATCCGGGAGCTGCTGTCTGCGTGCAGAATGCCTCCCAGACAGCAAAGCCAGCGCGCCCTGCTTCCCCTTGGCTTCTGTCAGCCATGCAGTCTTTTGTGTTTGAAATGCACACACCTGTCAATGTGTGCAAATGTGTGCCAGCAGCCCCCGCGGCTTGTCTGGGCAGGGATAAGTCGCATCCGTGCCTTGCCTACGTCACACATGGCCGTCCTTTGGTGCGATGACAGCAGTGCCCCCAGTTGTCTGATTGCGAGTCTTCTGGAAGGGGGGGCACCTCACTTGGGTTCCTTCGCTGTGCCCGTGCTGAGAGCAGGTGCCCACGCTCCTTGCACCTGCCTGCCTGAGCCCGAGCTGCTTCGAAGCCCACTGAGTCTTGTGTTCCCCACTCTGAAGCGGTGACGTGGACAACTTGCCAAAGTTCTCTTGTCCTGTGAGTCCAGCCAGACTCCTGCGGCTCGCGTGGATCCCTGCCACAGCCAAATCACCGCCCAGAGTAGGGAACGTGGAGATGGTCTGGCATCTGCCGTCCCCCGCCCTGCCCCGGGCGCAGCCATCATGAAGCCCTGAGTGCTGCCATGCGCCCCCCCTCCAGGCACCAGAGAAGGCAGGAGTCGGGGGTTCTGGAAGCGTGTGAGATGCCGCTGCTTGTGCACCGACGCGGCGGGCAGCGCAAATGTTGCCTCTGCACACCCGTGCTAGCGCCGCGACTGTGTGCCCTGCAGGAGGCTCCCCCGGTCCTGCCTGCACCCCACGCCACGCGGATCTCTCGAGAACAGGCTGTTTCTGGACGTTTTGCCTGACTTCTCAATACTGGACTAGTTCGGTGAGCCTCTCCTTGGGCCAGAAAGGTCAGCCAGGCTGGCAGTGCCGCAGGCAGGCCTGAGCAGCCAACGACCTCCTCCAGGTACTGAGCGTGCCAGCAGGGGCCGGTGGCTCGAGCCTGGGGCCCACAGAACAGGAGTCTGCCTCCCACCGGGACTCGCACACGTGACTGCGCTCCTGATCGGGAGGTGCTGGGGGAGGGCCTCCCATGCTCACACCTACTCAGTGGTAAGAATAAAATCCCACCCACCTGGGACCTGGCACTGTCTCCACAGCAGAAAGCTCCGGAGAACCTGAGGGAAAAGAAGCATGCGTGGAGACAGATCTGCCTTGGAGTTTGCGGCTCTTATTTAACTTAGAATTCGGGAGCGTTAAAAAAAATGGAAGGCGCAAGGCATAACGGTGTTTCGGGGTGTATGATTATGGCTAGATTTGAACCCTCATCACCAACTTTTTTTGGGGGGGGGGGATATAAGATGATGGTACTAACAATAAAATCTGATTTTCGTGAACCGCGTCAGTGGAGAAGCACAGCTTGTATTTGGCCCAAGACTCCAGCTGCTGCCCCCTAGTGGGCAGAGGGGCACGGTTACGTGAGCCTCTGGGTGCTCCCTGGGAACACGAGGCTATGGCTCTGGCTGCCACCGGGTCCCCCCTCCCAGGACACTCAGAGGCCCGCTGCAGAGGCCCCAGCTCCTGTCTGAGCATTTAGCTTTTCTCTGGGAGAAGCGGCTCCTGAGTGCTCACTCCCTCGCACTCTGATTCTGAGGGTTGGCGAGACGGACCCTTACCAGAATGCAGAGTCCTTGGTGGCCCTGCACCTGGGGAACACCAGTTAAGCACCTGGGCCACTGCTCGCTGGGCCCCTGCATGGGTCAGCCTCGCCTGTCTTGATGTCACAGACCTCAGTCATCCATCTCACCTGTGTTCTCTGAGGATCTGTTCCGTGCCACGCCTGGTGACAGGCTCTGGTGCCCCAGCCGGCAAGAGAAATGTTGGTGAGAACATATGGAGGCCCTGCTGGACTCTGAACTCAGAGCGGCCGGAGTGGGCGGCTGCCGCTGGAGCCATGCAGTACCCGGGGCGAGGATCGCTCTGTGCCACTGCTGTGTCTCGCCCCCCTCCCGCCCCCACCTTTACCAGTGATGGCGCCGGGAAGACTGCTCATTAGGACTGTGCACGTTGCATGGGCTGACACTTGATGGCAAGTTATTCTAGTACATTCCCTGACAAAGCCCAGTAAGTAAATCAGTCCTGGCAGCTGAAGGAACAGCAAGAGAAAATAAGTGACTCACGATTTAGAATCCAAAAAAAAAAAAAAAAAGCACCAGCAGATGGCAGGTGTTTTTAACACAACAGTCCTGGCCTTGAATTCAAGTACCTGGGGACCCAGCCAGCATCCGTGAAGCCAGGGTATCTTGCTGAAGAGCTGGTCCCTGAGCCTGCCTGGGGGCCAGCGGCCACCCCAGAGCTCCCACGGAACACACTTCACAAGGAAACAAAGGCAAGGCTCAAGGGGCTCCAGCCCAGGTACTGACCTCAAGACGCCTGCAGGATTGCCAGCTTTGCCAAGGCTGGTGTTGGAGGAATGAAACTCCGCTCCGGTCCGTGCTCTTACCTGCCATTTTCAGTGGGTTCCTGGTGCTTGGTGAGGCCACCCAACACCCAGGGGCCACACAGGGCACTCTGCCCAGGCTTGATGAAGGTCTTTTTTTTTTTTTTTTTGACAGGCAGAGTGGACAGTGAGAGCGACAGAGAAAAAGTTCTTCCTTTGCCATTGGTTCACCCTCCAATGGCCGCCGCAACCGGCGCACTGTGCTGATCCGAAGGCAGGAGCCAGGTGCTTCTCCTGGTCTCCCATGGGGTGCAGGGCCCAAGCACTTGGGCCATCCTCCACTGCACTCCCTGGCCACAGCAGAGAGCTGGCCTGGAAGAGGGGCAACCGGGACAGAATCCGGCGCCCCGACCGGGACTAGAACCCAGGGTGCCAGCGCCACAAGGCGGAGGATTAGCCTAGTGAGCCGCAGCACCGGCGGGATGAAGGTCTTTATAATAAGTGGAGATACTGGAGTGTGGGTTTCCTGCCGTCTGGGCGTGGCGTAGAGCGGCTTTTTACTTGGAAACAGGCTCTTTGCTTTCTCGAAACAGAACCATAGAGATGGCCCGATCCTTTTCCCCCTGGCACCGGCACTGGTGTGGACATCACTCTGACAGTTACGCAGGCAGATCCACTAAAGTGAAGAGAGCACAGCGGCTCTCAGGTCCCTGAGTCCACCCACTCTGGCCACCAGCAACCAGGACCAACCAGACCCCACCGCAGGAGTCGGGAAAGGTCAGAGGCCACGGTGAGGGAATCAGCCATCAGTTGCCAACACGCGAGACTGTAACTCACATGACAAAAATAACACTGGGTGCTGTGTGGTGCTGTATTTTTTTTTCTATACTGGCAATGTGCCATTTTCCCTTTCCTGACATTCCTCAGGGCCCCTCTGCGTTCGCAGTTTGGGAAGCAGCGGCACCCCTGAGCTGTGGACTGGGAAGAGCAAGTCTTGAGGTATTTCTGGACACGGGTAGATCCTAACCCAAGAGGTTGAACAACCGATGTGACCGGCACCAAAGGGAGCTTGCTGGCCGTGTCACCTGAGGAGGCGTGCTGGCCCGATTCCGGGCACGCGAGGGCATTTCAAGAAGTTTATGCAAGATGGAATTCGAAGAGAAGTTTATTTTGTGCAAAGAGAATTGAAATCCATGCATTACTTTCTTCTACTACGCATTTTCCGGGAGCTTTGTGAAGGCTGCTCATACTCATGGATTTCTAAAATGTTTCGCACCAAAATAAAATCATCTTCCCGTTCCGTTTTCCACAAACTTTTTTTTTAAGTACCCTTGTGCAATTTATTTCCTTCAGGAACAAAATGGAGGAAAATTCGGCAGGTTGGGATCGATCAGACAGAGTTAGCTTGACCGGTATTCCCAACACACATGATCTCTGCAGAGCAACAAGACAGGTGGCAGCCAGGGGCACCCCGGCCAGCAGCAGCAGCCGTAGGAAGGAGATGCATGAATGGTCTTGGACAGGGTATCCAGAGAAAAGCAGAGCTATTAATTGTTTTAATTAAGAGGAGCCACAGCTGAAAAGGTCACTGTTTCACGAGCTGTTGCGGTCGAGGTGGGCTAATTAGAACTAATTGTCATCTCACTGTGGGGGTGCGGCCGCCGATCCCGCTGGCGTGGTGAGAAGCCCTGGTTCCGTGGCAGGAACTCGCCGTTCCTGTCCTGCCTCCTTCGCCCTCCCTTGGCCGCTGCCCTTCAGTCCACTTGCTCAAGCCCAGCCCCAGATCTGAAGGCAGAGGACAAACCAGGGCGGCGTCCTGTGGCCTGATTAACCAAGCTCCCGGGGCAGGCAGGTGGCACAGCGGTGGGATGCGTGCACCCCGTACCGCAGCGCCTGCGCACAAGTCCTGGCTCCACTGCCAAGTCCAGCTTCCGGCTACTGTGCATCCCCCAGGAGGCAGCAGGTGATGGCTCACGTACTGTGGACCCTGCCAATTGTTGGAGACCCGGATGGAGTTCCTGTCTGCTGGCTTCAGCCTGGCCCAGCCCCTGGCCCGGCATGTGGGGAGGGAACAAACAATCAGAAGACGCCTCTGTGTTTCAGTCTCTGCCTTTTTTTTTTTTTTTTGACAGACAGAGTGGACAGTGAGAGAGAGACAGAGAGAAAGGTCTTCCTTTTGTCGTTGGTTCACCCTCCAATGGCCGCCGCGGCCGGCGCGCTGCAGCTGGCGCACCGTGCTGATCCAATGGCCGGAGCCAGGTGCTTCTCCTGGTCTCCCATGGGGTGCAGGGACCAAGGACTTGGGCCATCCTCCACTGCACTCCCTGGCCACAGCAGAGAGCTGGACTAAAGAGGGGCAACCGGGACAGAATCCGGCACCCCAACCGGGACTAGAACCCGGTGTGCCGGCGCCGCAAGGCGGAGGATTAGTCTAGTGGGCCACGGCGCCGGCCAAGTCTCTGCCTTTCAAAAAAAATTTCAGTTAACCTGCTACTTTCATAATCTCCATGCCCAGGTGATCTTTGCAACGACGGGGTCTGTACGGTGAGGCCTTGGTCTTTGGTGCCCAGGCTCCTGTCTGACATCTGCTCTCTGACGGGAGACTGGGGCGTGATCCAGGGTCCACTCTGGCTGGTGAGTACCCGGATGTCAGCCAGGCCTGCTCAGGGCCTCCCCATGGGTACCAGGAAGCACCTGACACCTGCAGACAGACTTGACAGGGTGGCACCTCCCACGCACCTGGGCACAGGGCAGCACAGCGTGGGAGCTGTCTCTGCCCCCAGCCCCAGGGGTGCCGTGGGTGTCACCCCAGGCCAGATTTAAGCCCACCAGGCCCTGAGGACCCCGGATCTGGACACCTGGGCTCTCTGTGCAGGGGCCACAGCCTCAGCCTGCTCTTTCCCTGTTGAACTGAGTTCCCAGCTGGCCTTCCTCAAATTCGCAGGGGCTGCAACACATCCTTTCAACAAATAGTCTTTAGGAAGCCCCGGGATGCGAGGCACGTGCTGAGCTCCTCAGTGAACAGATCAGGCCCCAAATGGAGGGCACGTGCCGGTCAGGTGAGCAGAGGCCGAAAGCTCTGCACCACGCACAGCGCAGAGGGGAGGGGGGTCCCAGGCAGCCCGGGCAGGCGGAGGTTGGCAGAGGTGAGTCTGTGAAGGAGATGAGGGAGCCAGGGCATGGCTGGGGGCGGGGGGAAGGGAGTTCCTGGCCGATGGGACAAAGAAGTCCCCACGGTTAGCGTGGCCACGGTGTGGCTGGGGCAAGGGACAGATGGCGCTGTCAGAGTTGGGGTAGGCAACAGGCACTGTGACGCTGGGTCTCAGGAGAGCTGTACGGTGCTGAGTGGGGGTGAGGCGTGATGTCCGTGTCCAGATCAGCTCAGCGTGCAGGGTGGTCCAGGCGCAGAAAGCAGAAGGCCAAGTGGCGGTTTCTCGGTGGCACCAGGTGAGGGCTGGGGACCGGGACGGTGGCCACAGGTGTTGTGAGAAGTTCCCAGCTTCTGAGTGTGGAATCTGTTTACTTAAAAGGGATATTTGGGGGCCAGCGCTGTGGTGTAGCGGGTAAAGCCACCGCCTGCAGTGCCAGCATCCCATGTGGGCCCCGGTTCAAATCCAGGCTGCTCCACTTCCCATCCAGCTCTCTGCTATGGCCTGGGAAAGCAGTGGAAGATGGCCCAAGTCCTTGGGCCTCTGCACCCACGTGGGAGACCTGGAGGAGGCTTCTGGCTCCTGGCTCTGGATCGGTGCAGCTCTGGCCATTGTGGCCAATTGGGGAGTGAACCAGCGGATAGAAGACACCTCTCTCTCTCTCTCTCTCTCTCTCTCTCTCTCTGCCCCTGCCTCTCTGACGCTGTCTTTCAAATAAATAAGTAAATCTTTTAAATGGGGCGGGAGGGGGACAGGATACTTAATTTCCATCTTGCTATACCTCATCGTCCCAAATTCTTTTTCGAGGCCGAAACAGCTCATTAGAATAGAATCCGTTACATTCTGCTCCCCAAACCAAACAAATGCCCTCCTTTCAGTAGAAAATTAGAGAAGATTAAAGAGGAAAATAAAACTGCTCCACGGCCCTTTCTGTTGGAGCGCACCGTTTGTTCACCTTTGCACAGGTGCTTTTGTTCTTACAGGGTTAAAGGTGCGTATTGCACGTGGTTTCCTCACCAACAGTCACACGCACGCTCCCAGCGTTGTAATCCTGGCAAAGACAGGATTATATAGATTATCTGTGCCCTTCCTCAGCGTGTCTCCAATCTTCGTAATTGTTTGTAATATTTGTAATATTTCGGTACGGTGGCTCCCAGAATTATTCAATGACTTCCCTTTGATGGCACACGTCTACATGTTTCCAGGGTGTTGCTCAAGAAGTCAATGCTGGAATCCTCACTTGCATAGCTTTTTGCATCTTTTGAATTCTTTCCTTAGAGCACATGCCCAGGAATAGGATTGGAGGTCAAATTCTGTGAAAATTTTTATGCATTTTCCTTAGTACTTCAAAGGGCTATTTAGCAAGGCACCTAACAATTTTGTTGTGGTATCTTCAATGCTAAGCTTGCTGCCTTTTATAATTTTCCCCCAATTTTGTTGATTGAAAATAGAAATTGAAATCTTTAAAAATTCTGCTTGTCATTCAGTACTTCTAAATACTAATGTTTTCCATGACTTTCAACACATTTTTAATGCTAGAATGAAAAACTGAAAACATATTTGTTGCCGTAACCTGGGACACTATTCTGATGAAAGCTGGGGACAGCTGGGCGGATTGAGAAAGAAATGTATTTGCTCTTATTATTCATATTCCTAGAAAGCATTACACTCTTCAAAATATAAATGGTCTTCTATGCATGTCAGATTTGAACCTCAATTTTTGTTGTCTATGTGAGGCAGGGAGAGGGTAGAGAGAGAGGTCCCATTCACTAGGTCACTCCCCGAATGCCTGCCGCAGCCAGGACTGGCCACGGCTGATGCTGGAGCCGGGAATTCAATCCAGGCCTCCCACGTGGACGGAGGGCTCCTGGTCACTCAAGCCATCACTGCTGCCTCCCGTAGTCCCCATTAGCAGGAAACAAGAGTCAGGAATTGGAGCAGGATATCGAACACAGGTTCTCCAGTGTGGACACAGCTGTGTCTTAACCACTGAGCTGAGTGCCTGTTCTCGTATAACTTTTCAATGGATCAAGTCCCACTTAAATGTCACTGCACTGAGCCAACACATTGGACATGCACTTGCCCGACACAGGACCTGATGAGGACTCAGAGTGGGCGGGAAGAGCCCTGTGAGTTAGGGAATGGCAGGTGGGGTGAGTACGCGGACCCTTCAAAAAGTGTTGGTACAGGGGCCGGCGCTGTGGCACAGAGGGTTAACGCCCTGGCCTGAAGCACCGGCATCCCATGTGGGTGCCAGTTCTAGTCCCGGCTGCTTCCCTTCCAATCTAGCTCTCTGCTATGGCCTGGGAGAGCTGTGGAAGATGGCCCAAGTCCTTGGGCCCCTGCACCCGTGTGGGAGACCCGGAAGAAACTCCTGGCTCCTGGATTCGGATTGGTGTAGCTCCAGCCGTTTCAGCCATCTACGGAGTGAACCAGCAGATGGAAGACCTCTCTCTCTGTTTCTACCTCTCTCTGTAACTCTGTCTTTCAAATAAATAAAATAAATCTTAAAAAAAAAAAGAAAGTGTTGGTACAAAGTTTGGGTACATGGGGGTCGGCATTGTGGTGCCGTGGGTTAAGTCACCACCTACAACACTGGCTCCTGTAAGAGCACCTGTCCAAGTCCCAGCTGTTCCACTTCTGCTAATGTGCCCGGAAAGACAGTGGAAGATGGCCCAAGTCCTTGGGCCCCTGCATCAACATGAGAGACCCGGAAGAAGCTCCTGGCTCCTGGTTCCTGGCTTTGGATCAGCACAGCTCTGGCCATTGTAGCCAACTTGGGGGTAAACCAGCAGATCAAAGACTCTATCTCTCTCTCTCTGCCTCTGCCTCTCTGTAACTCTGCCTTTCAAATAAGTAAAATAAAATTTGGTACAAAAATACTTGGAAATCCATGCACCGTTTTTGTTTCATAACACACATTGTCCATGAACGTTTTGAAGACCCCTCACATTCATAGATTTCAAAATCTTCTGCACCAAAACAAACCTATCTCTGAATTCCATTTTCCACGAACCTTCTGAAATACCCTTGAATGCCTGGTGCGTCCTGTAGCAGCCTCTTATCTCACTTAGCAATAGCCACTGTCTTTTAACGCCTTTTAATCCAGGTTTCAAAGGACAGCGTGGAAAAGGCACAAGAGGCTGATGGAGGGAAAGACCCAGTCGGCTCCACCACCACTATTTGCATCTGTTGCCCTTTACACGGGCAAGGGCCGCGGACGAGACACTCCTGAGACATAGAGAAAGTGCTCTCGGACTGGGCCCAGGCTGGCCGGGCTGAGCTTGCCAAGGCATGCGGGACCAGCCTGCCAACCTGGCCAAACGCATCAGTCCCACCCTCCAGAAAGTCCAGGGAGTGAGCCACAGACCCCTGCAGCCGACAGAGAGACGGCTCGCTCGCAGTCACCCAGGCTGCCCCTCCCTTCCCGGCAGGAGCAGGGGATAAACTGGGGTGGGGGCTGGGAGTCTCAGACCCTTGGGGATACACCTTAGTGGGGCCGGGTCACCTGGGACTCGGCGTAGCCAGAGACGCCTCCCAGCGGCTTTTGAGTTGCAAGACTGCGTCCGGTAAGCACAAGCTGAATCATAGATCTTAAAAGTGGGCACCGGCATTGGGAACACCCTGCAGCCGTTAGAAATGATCTTCCCCAGAGCTCCTGAGTCAAAGGGTCTGGGGCTGGAGGCTGGGAACCTCTCCTTTATCGTTTTTAACAACCTATTTATTTATTTTTTGTGAAAGGCAGAATTCCTGAGAGGGAGGGAGGGGGGAGGGAGAGTGAGAGAGAGGCCCTCCGTCTGCTGGTTCACGCCACCAATGACTGCGGCAGCCAGGGCTGGGCCAGGCCAAAGCCAGGAGCCAGGAACTCCGTCTGGGTCTCCCACGTGGGTGGCAGGGGCCCAAACACGTCTTTTGAATTCTCTCCTTGGAACAAATCTGCTGCTCTGTGCACTCAAAGAGCGCTGGGTCAGAGGCAGGGAAGCCAAGACCCCCAGCCGCACCCCGGTAAGGGAGGCTGGCGAAGCAGCAGCTTAACCAGCTGTGTCAGGCGCTGGCCCCGTCTTCTCCCTGGGAACCCCGCGTTTAGAGACTCCCCAGCGAGTGCTCAGGAGAGCCAGGCTGGGGACTCCGGGGCTGGCCCATGTACCCCGGCTCCATTCCAAGGCTTGTGTCCCATCATTCTCTCAGTGTCACCTGGCCAGCCCCACCTGTCCGGGGCCCCAATCCCAGCTCGTGTGGAGACGTCAGCACCAGCCTTCCCCACGGCTCTCTGCCAGAGTGACCCCTCCCTCCCTTGGGTTTCTGCAACTCATTCTCTCCCTCAAGTTTTTAATAAGGAAAAAACCACTCCTGTGGGGTAGAAATGGTGGGGGATTCGGAGTCAGAAGTCCCCCGGTGTGCACCTGGGTGGGTTACAATTTCCCCAAGGACCTGTCTCGCCACCCACACAGTGAACCAACGACTTCACAAGGGCTTTGTTGTACATCGTGGGCACAGGCAAGGTTTTGCCACCTGTACAATAGGAACAAATGGCAATTGTAGTTTAGCTACTCCCTGTCTCATGGTGCTGTCCTCCCTCTCTCTGTTCATGCCATAGACCATTCCTGACTGGGCCCTGCACATGCACGATGCAGCCACACTCACTGCCCGGTGCAGGGCGGTGGCTAGGTGCACAGAGAGCTGTCACCTCTGTCTTGCGTTCGGCATGACTGTCTGCTCTCATCAGTGGTGCACCTCTAGGGCCTAAAACGCTGCCTGGCACAGAGCCAGCGCTGTGTGTGCCAATGAATACATTAAAGGGGAGGCTTCTGCAAAGCAACATGGGAGCTGAGGCTTACAGGGCCGGGCAGGAGAGGAGCAGCCTGGGGGAAAGCAGTGCCCTTGTCCCCAAGGCCGTGAGGTCCCTGCTAAGTGTCCCCCTCAGTCCCCAGCAACGGGCTCTACACACACACAGAATGTCAACCTTCCCAGAAGGAAACGGTTAGGGACCTCGTTTTAAAGAGCACAAAAGCAACCCAGCATCACAGGCATAACCCCCCACGTGGGTTATTGGGGTCACCCGGGCCCTGGGGCCGGTCCTCAGTGAGGTGACTCGTGGTGGGGCCAGTCCTGAGAGCTTGGCACGCAGCTCAGGCTCCCTGCAGGGCTCTGAGTGGCGCTGGCAAGCACAGATTAATTCAGTCCATCTGCTCTGGTCCTTGTCCACATATCCAGAGCGAGTGTCTGACTGCCTTAATCAAGGCAGCACATTGTGTGCCGCGAGGGGCTGTGCACACACGTGGGATCCTCTTCCCTAAGTAGTGCACTTGACGCAGGAGCAGAAGCCCAGTCTGCAGGTGCGACGGAAGCCGATGGCCCTCGTGAGGGGCCTCACATCGCAGAGTGACAGCTCCACAAGCTGGCCTCGGGGACCGGATCTCAGAGCGAGCTCTGAGCCCCGGGGACGTCGGGTGAATTGAGACCAGGGTGGTTCATACACACGCGTCTGGGACAGAGGCTGCTGGCAACCTTGAGGTTTTCAGTTCCGTCACTCCATGACCCCCTGGGCTGGGTCTCTGTTGTGATGAGATTTTGCTAACAATGAAGACAACGGCAGAGCCACGAGCAGGAACAGGCTTCTTTCTGCAAAGCTCTCAACTCCGAAGTTCACGGCTATGGAGGCTCCGATGCAGCCAGCGACGCAGCCCTGCTGCACAATTCACACCAGGGCGCAGGTGCGTGAGTGAGGTTCCCCCGCAGCTCGACCACACTGCAGGGCCCCTGGCATGCAGAGAAGCCGCCCCCCGCCTTCATTAATGCTGCTTCTGTGCCTGAAACGGCGCCTGGTCAGGATGGTGCTGCTGTACAAGGGGGTGGTGCAGAGGTTGCTGGACAAGTCCAAGGGCAAGTTCTCTGTAGTATCAGGAAAGGTCAGGTTCAAAGTTCACACAGAATCACCCTGCCGCTACCCCAGCCAGCGGTGCCCCTCCCTCTCCCCAGCTACTGCTCAGTCTCTACCCCCGTTAACCGGGGTACTTTGTTTAATCCTCTGTTTTACCTGAAATTGTCTTCCTTGTGGACATTATCTGTTTATCGGCCATTTCTCCAACCCCAGTATACTAAGGTCCAGGAGAGCCGGGGCCGTGCCTGTCTGTACCCTTGGCATCCAGTGCCAGGCTGAGCCACGTGTGCAGAAGCAATAATGCTCACGGGCTCCGGACACAGCCCTGGTGCGCTGGGTTTGGAGGACGGGAGCTCAGGAGCATTGTCTTAGAGGAAGTGTGATCCCCAGCTCCTGGCAGTGCCTTCTCCAAGCCAGCGCCACTGACCTAAGCTCGCCTGCTGGGAGACGAGAGAAGCCACAGGAAGCCGTGTAAACTGCAAAGGCCGAGGGAGCTCTGTGGGCAGCACGGTCACGGCGGGTGATGAAGTGCACGCCCCCTGGGGCCAGGCCAGCACCCCAGGGCTCCACTCCTGGGCCAGGCCCCTGGTACTTCACCCGCTCTGTGCCTTCCTCTCCCAGTGCTCACGACGAGAGCAGTTATTGGCAACTGAACCAACACTGGAACACAGCACCTGGTGAGCACTCTCGTCAACCACTCGGCAAGGGAGCTTTTATGCCCAGTTTTTAAAACGAGGACGGAGGCACGTGCCGTGTGCTCAAGTGCCATCTTGGAGGAAGAGGACTCTCCTAGCCGCTGGCAGCTCACTAGAGGGCTGTGTGGGCACGGGGTCCACAGTCCTGTGTCCCTGGGTCCTCCTGGTCACTCCACAGCGCCACCTGGTGTGCATACAGGATGGACTCAGCCAGGTTCACATCCACTGTCCAGTCTGCACCTCAGAGGCAGACCCGCCCTGGGTGCTCCTCAGAGCTGGGACGCACGTGGGTCTGACGGGCTGACACTGGGAAGAGGAACTCCCTGGCCGCCACCTCCTGCCCATCACGCAGGCTGCAGGTGAAAACTAATTCTTTTACCCTTTTCAAGCGATGTGTCCTACCCACCTGTCAGACCTCAAGAACACTGCTTGGAGGCCTGGCCTTGCCCTCGGGTTCCATCCTGGTCCAGGCTCCACCTTGGGGACTCTGATCCATCCCGAGAGAGCTCACTGTTCACCAGGGAGACAGACAGGACATGAGCCAGTATGAGGGCAGGGACCAAGAGAAAGCCACACGGCGGAAGTCACCCTGTGTCTGAGCATCACGTGGTGAAACACGACTTTGCTGGGCAGAGAAGGGGGCAGTGGGAAGGGCGCGTCCTGGGCTTGGAGGCAGGTGAGGGAAACGCGGCTGGAACACGTCCTCCCGTGGGAGTGCTCGGTGTGGGGACTGCAGGGCCCAATCCGTTGTGTGAACTCCACCCTGCAGGCCATGGGAAGGCCAGTGGGGGTCCACGACAAGGCTGTGGCACGGCCCAGACCGGAAGTCGGCCTCAGGAGGAACGGCTGCCCAAGGGGCAGATGAGGGTGAGAGCGTCCGGAAGGGGCGGTCCCTAGGGGGCACCCAGGCAGAGGTGGCCGCAGTGTGCAGTACACACTCTGAGCCAGAAAGCAATCAGACGTGATGGGCTGGCGCGTGCGCATTTACAGGCGTGCTACAGTCAGTGCTGCTGCCTTCCCACAACCCACGCGGCCAGCAGGAGGCTGCGGTCCCGCCCCCACACTGTCACCTGAGTCTGACTGGCAGGTGAACAGCATGCCCGGGGTGGGGGGGGACCCCTGCAGTGGCCAAGGGCAACTGTCCTGCCCCTGACCTCTGCCTATTTCCCCACTCACATAAAGGAGCCATCTCCCCTCCATCCAGGTCTGCACATGGGTGGCAGGGCCCAAATACCGCCCAAGTGCATTAGCAAGGAGCTGGAACGGAAGTGGAGCAGCCAGGACTTGAACCGGGTCCCAGCACTGCAGCCAGAAGCTTATCCCCCGTGCCATGACACCTGCCCCTGTTTTGTTGTTCTTTGAACCCAGGGATTTTTTTAAGGCCTCTGTTGTATGCTGTCAGTCTATCAGAAATGTCTGTGACTACGCTGACCACGCAGCCGGGAACGGGGCTCCTGTTGGGAAGTGGAGGACCACAGTTCTTTGTTTCTCTATGAAAAGGCCAAGAGAAGTCTCACCACTGCTGTGGCCTTGGGCGCCCCCATGTGTCCTGAGCAGGAGGGGATCCCGGGGTCAGCGACCCTGCAGATGCCATGCACCAGGGACGGAGTGGGCAGCAGGAAGGAGGCTCAGAGGCCCTTCTGGGGCCCCCAGGGTGCGTGGGAGATGCAGTTCCTCTCTGGTCTTGGGCAAGCAGGGTCAGAGACATGGAGAACACTGCCTGTCTGGCCTCTGGCTCCAGCCCCTGTGGACAGTGGTCTCAGCAGGCCAAATAGGTCTCCAAGCCGCGTGGAGGACCAGCCCCAGGAGTTACTGTCAGTCCCTAGAACTGCCTAGAAGAAGGTTCAGATCTGGATTCCAGAGACACCTTCCCCTGAGGACAGCTGTTCTGCCTGCCCAGGGCCCTGGCGGAAGATGACCCAGAGCTGTGCAGCCAGGGGAAGACGCCAGCCTCTGTGCCAGGACACCTCACCCCCAGCTGCCCTGGCGTGGAAGCCCCTAGCTTTTTTTTTTTTTTTTAAGAAATGAAGATTTATTTATTCATTTGAAAGGCAGCGTGACAGAGAGAAAAGGAGAGACAGAGAAGAAAGAGATCCGTCCACAGGTTCACTCCCCAGAGGGCCGCAGTGGCTGGGGCTGAGCCAGGCCAAAGCCGGGAGCCTGGAGCTCCATCCGGGGCTCCCACGTGGGTGCAGGGATCCAAGCACTTGGGCCACCTTCCGCTGCTTTCCCAGACGCATCAGCAGGGAGCTGGATCGGAAGCGGAGCGGCCGAGCCTGGAACCCCAAGTCCAGTACGGGATGCCAGAGTCGCCAGCATCGCAGGCGGCGGCTTGGCCATCTGTGCCGCAGCGCTGGCCCCGGCCCGTAGCTATTTGGAGCCTCAACTGGCTGAGCTGAAAAAGTAGTAATGTTAACACCGGCTATGCCCCCTTTCCAGAAGCTTCGTGAGGAACAGAGAGAGAACAAGTTTGGAAAAGCACGTTGTGGACCAGAGCCTGTGCCCTTGCGGGGTCGGGAACCTCAGGGTCGCTGTGGCTGCCAGGGGCCGGGGCCTCCAGATGCGGCACCAAGGGCTCGTGGGACTCCACTGGTTTCCCAGCAGCTCTGGCTGAGCCCCAAAGCCTCCTGCTCCTGCCGGGCTATCCCTGCGGGGGAGGCCTGTGTGTGGATCTCAGCTGCAGGTTCCCAGCCCTTCACCTCTGGCTGGGCAAAGCTTTGCAAGGTGAGCTCTCGAAAAACAAAAACACTCCCTACCCCCACCCCTGCCTGTGCCAAGAGATACCCAGTGTCCTCACCGTGCAGGGGAAGCCCAAATCCAGTCTGAAAAGAAGCAAGTGGCGTCCTCTCTCATGGCTCTCAGAGGAAGGTCAGAGCCACGGGGCCCTGAACCCCCGCCGAGGCCAAGGCCGGCCGTCTCAGAAGGCACGGGCAGGGCAACCAGGTGGCCATCGGCCCAGATACAGAAAGACAACCTTGCCCCGGACTCTGCCTCCAGAAGGGAGGCACGTGGTGCCCTCGCGAAGCGGTTTCCTGGCTGAGCGCTGACCTATCTGGCCGTCCCTGGCCGCACAGGTAATTGTCCACCACGGGGGGCCTGCTCCTGGCCACCATCCGCCCACGGGTTGTCAGCCTGCTCATTGGCTTCCAGGAGCTCTGCTGAATCCGTGCCTGGGATCCGTCCCCGGCGTCCCTGGGCAAACTCCAGGGAACAGACACCCCCAAAGGGCGTTCCCCCGCCCCACCACACAACCCAGCTCTGAACTTTGTTCTTGAAGCCCGTTTGTGACCACGTGGGAATGGAGGAGGGGGTGCAGGGGGAACAGGAGGGGAAGGCAGCAGGTCAACCCGATGGAGGAGGGTTCCCTCTGTCTCTCTCCTCTCTTTCTCCCCCTCCCTCCCCTCTTTTTCTTTCCTTTGTTCTTTTTTCTCTCTCCCTTCTTTCTCTCCCTCTCCCATTCTTCCCGCTCTTTCTCTTTCCATCTTTCTTTTCTTTTTCTTTCCTTCCTTCTGTTTCTTTCTCTCCTGCCCTCTCTCTTTCTTCCCCTCCCTCCCTTCCTTCCCCACCCCCTCCCCCATTTCTTTCAACCGAGTAAAGATCAAAGCAGAAGAGAACTTCCACGCAGAGCAGTGAGCTGGCCCGGATGTCCCCCTGGAGGAGAGAACAGGGAGCTGGCCCGGATGTCCCCCTGGAGGAGAGAACAGGGAACTCCCGTCTCTTGGCTGAGAAGCCCAGGATTCCATCCTAGAAGGAGGGGCACAGAGCAAAGTGACCCCAGAGAGCTCACAAATGCGGCCAAGCCCAGCCCTTCCACACTTCACACGCAGTGACTGTTGGGGAGGGAGGAGCCGTGGGCTGCTCACAGAGGCATCTCTGCCTGCTGACTCTCCGCCCGCGCCATGAGGGCTGCTTGTCTTCCCCTCCAGGCCCCCGTGCGGCAGGGGAGCCTGCCTGTTTCACTCGCAGCTGTGTCCTGAGTGCCTTGGAAAGTGCCCGGCGCATGCAAAGAACTCAACAAGTATCTGTCGCAAAACGAATGCGCCGTGAGGCTGCCCCTTCCCCTTAACACAGCATGGACTCAGCTCCTGGCTCTGACCCGGGATGCCCTGGAGGGGCTCCGGCTCGGGCTAAGCACAGTTGAGGTTTGATGATGGGGGCAGGATGCTGCTACCACGATTGGGGGGGGGCTGCTCACACAGCGTGGGATCCATCCTCATGGGACTTGGGGGGCAAATGAACATGTGCATTGATCAAAGGTCTTTCAATGAAAGGAATTCAGTGGAGAAAGAAGAGGCAGCAGCGTGGACCAGCCCCACGAGCGAGGCCCGCCGGGGACGGGAAGTGGCTGCGGCAGGTGTGGCAGCTCAGCTCAGCTCAGCTCAGGAAGGACGCTCCGGTCAGGACACTCGCTGCGCCCTGATCACCCTCCAGGCTCTTGGTTAGGGCAGGGTGGGCTCAGCCCTCCTCCTCCCAGGATGAGGGCTCTGAAGGAAGAGGGTACAGCCGGGACATCTGGGTTAGGACAGCCATGAGCAACCAGACGGGGATTTACCCCCAAGCACAGCCATTTGCTGTGAGTCAACATTTAGGGTTTTATTTGGAAGGCACGAAGCCAGCCATTGGATTTAACCTTTCCCTCCGCCCCGAAACTGACACTGAATAATGCAGTGTGCGTTTCCCCGTCACACGCACGGGCCACAGTGTACACGGCGGAGTTAGTGCCCCCGCACTCCCCAGAGAGCAGAACACCAGTGTGCGGCCCCGCCCCCGTCTGCCGTCTGCCAGCCTGTGCACCTGGGGACCCGCCACTCAGGGCTGCAGGAGGTTCCCGAAAGCGGGAGAGGACGGAGGACTGAGATCCGAGCTTCAAACTTCTCCCAAGGGCAGAGCAGGGATGGGGGAAGCTAGGACTGGCAGCACACCCCGAGCCGCCGCCGCTTCTCCACGCTCTGGGCACAGCAGGCTCTCAGTGGCACCGCCTGCTCCACAACCCAGGCTTAGGCAGTCTCATCCCGCAGGGAGAATCAGGGCCCACTGGGGTTGCAGGGGTGGTGGGTCCTGCACCGTGTCTGAGAGAGGGCAGCCCACAACAGACGCCTTTGCTGAGACGTCACCCAGCGTGTGCACACCCCCAGCTGGGCAGGGGTCCGATGCCACTCAACTACAATCAGAAACCTTTCCAACCTCTGATGTGATCATGTGATCATGGCAAGAACACACAATCAGGGCTCAGACGGCGAGGGTCTGTCGCGTCCGTGCTGCTGTCAGCTGGCTGTGTGACACTGGGGACGTCCACTGCTTTCTCGGGGCTTGCTCTGGCCCCAGGCTCCTTTGGTGTCAAGTGTCCCTCTCCATGGTCCCCCACTAAAAACCGTAGAATAAAGTGGCGCAGGGGGCTTTTCCCTTCCTTCCACTAGGTGGCGTCGTGTGTCCAGCTGCGGCCGCCAGGCCGGGGGGTGGGCACCCGGATGTCCGTGCACGGGTTCCACTTGGCTGAGCCCAGCCCAGGCGCTGGCGGCGGCAGCTCTCCGAGGACCAAACCATGATGGTGCAGTCCGGCTCTGCAGGTTGAACCAGGGCAGGACGGGAAATGGGCAGGCGCTGAGGCTTAAAGAGCAGTTTGGTTTTAAAAGGGCAAAGCTTGGTGAAGGCTGGACAGGTAGATCTGCTAACTTCTAGCTTTCTAAAAAATGGCTTTCCACTTCGGAACTGCTTGCCAAAGGTCTGAATTGCCATGAACAGTGACAATTGAGTGACTTTAAAGATTCCACTCCTGAACTCCCCCACCAATGCCTCTCCCACTGGTTTATTCTAATGCGGTGTTTTGGTTACAACAATAATTACTCTTTACATTTGACACAATGTCGGGTTGAAATGAATTCACTGAAAGTTCACTTGAAATCACCTTCCCGTGGTGCTTTGCCGGCTCATGAGCACATTGTTCTCCAGCTGTGGGCACGGCGTGCGTGTCATCCTAGGGCCCCTCCATGTGCGTGTCATTGCAGAGTACATCCACACGCGTGTCATCCTACAGTACCTCCGCACACATGTCATCTTACGGAGCAGCTTGTTAAAGTCCTGCCCAACGTCGTACCCAGGGTCTAGCCGACATAGTTTCCAATGCTAAAACGTTCGGTACCCCATCTGTCAATCCTTCTAAGTGACATTCCGTGTAAAAGCAGAATGACAGCGGGCATTGCATTACCCAAGGTGACCCACTTAGTTCCCAGGAACGGCAAATGCCTGTGCAAGACCCCGAGGCGTCCACGTGTGTGACTCCGCTGCGCTCAGCTCCACCCTTGCCGCTAGTTGCCCCTCCTGCCACCACTCCCCCGGGCATCTCCAGTTAGCGTTTTTGAAGCTTCTTGGTCACCTGCCCGGGGCAGGGGGTGGTGGGCACCTCACCCTAGAGAATGAATGGCAGAGGTTCCTAGGGCCACCTGCTGTCGGACAGCAGACACCGGGCTCCTTCAAAGAACCTGAGGAGTAGAGAGGGAGCCATCCCCCGTTCTCAGTGCCACGGCAGAATTAGAGACACTTTGCAAGTGTCATGATTTCGCCTCCCATCTCCTGTCCGGCGAGAAGAAACGGCACCGCCCAGCGCAATCACACAGGCTCACGCCTCCCAGCGGTTGCCCCAGCCCTTTTCCAGCTCACTGATGTCCCCGCATCCAGCAAATCCAGAGCAGCTCCTCTTCCTGGGCCGGTGCTGCCTGCACACACCCACAGACACAGACACACACAGACACACACACACACAGACACACACAGACACAGATGCACACACACAGACACACACACAGACACACACAGACACACACCCACACACCCACAGACACAGACACACACAGACACACACACACAGACACACAGACACACACACAGACACATACAGACACACACACAGACACACACAGACACACAGACACGCACAGACACACACACAGACACACAGACACACACACAGACACGCACAGACACACACACAGACACACACACAGACACACACACACAGACACACCCACCGACACACACACACAGACACACAGACACACACACACCCACAAACACAGACACAGACACACACACATCACAGACACACACACACAGACACACACACACAGACACACACACACAAACACACACAGACACACACACACACACCCCGTGTCAGGCCGCCTCCCGCCGTCCAGTCTTCCAGGAGGGAGTGGCGAGACATCAGCTGAATCATGGGAAGAGGCCAGGGGGACACTGGAGACCGAACATTTCCTTGGTTACACAGAGTCTCAGAAATCACTTTACAGCACTACATTTTTGCTTTCATGTTTAATTAAAACAAAGACAAAATCGGGAGCAGGAATTTAGCCTGGTGGTTAGGAATGCCCACAGCCCGCACCAGGGATGGGCGCTGCACTTCTGAGGCCAGCTCACTGCTAATGCTGACCGGGGCCATGGTGATGGCTCGGGTGGTTTGGTTAACCCGGCCCCCGTCATTTTGGATAGTGAGTGAGCCAATGAATTCAAGTTCTATCTGCCTATCACTGCCTTTGAGAGAGAGAGAGAGAGAGACAGAGAGAGAGAGAGGGAGAGGTCTTCCACCCACTGGCTTACTCTCCAAGGCCCACAGCAGCCAAGACTGGGCTAGGCCGAAACCAAGAGCCTAGAGCTCAGTCCAGGTCTCCCACATGGGTAACAGGGACCCAGCTACCTGGGCCGTCACCTGCTGCCTCCCATTAGCAGGAAACTGGAATCAGAAACAGAACCAGGACTTGAACCCGGGTGCTCTGATTCAGGTCGTGGTTTCTGGAGCAGCATCAAATGCCAGCCCACCTCCTCCCCCTACCCCCAGTGTTTTATAAATACAAAGTAACTACTGCTGTGGCTTTCAAGTTTGCTCAGAGCAGACCTGCAGATACCAATAATGAGCCATGGCAGGCCAGCAATTAAAACGCAGACTTTGCTTTCAAGCCATTACAGGGTAAGAGTGGGCGTGACTTGCTACAGTACCTCTGTGTAAGGGCAATGACTCCATCCTTCTCTGTGAGGTTCTATTAAAGCATTCCTTGTAACCCCAGATGCCAGGATAAAAGAGACACCTTTTAATAAAGCTTTATCGCATCGTCATCTATTTATACCCTGCCCTGACTCAGAAAGG